ACGTTGATTTAGTGACTTTGGCAAGTTTGAGTCGTGTCAAGAAGTCAGGTAGGATTCAGTACTAGGCAGTAGTGAAACGTGAGTGGCAGTCTTTGCCGGTTTCTGAGGGCATCCTGGATTTGGTTTGCAGCGCTGTGGAAATGGCTTGCTGTGGAGGTCCCAGCACTGGATGTTGTATCAAAGGTACGACCTCGTAGCACGTGCCAAACCTAAAAAAATTCAAAAATTGCCTTGGGTCTGTGGGAGTCCGTGAAAGAACGCCCACTCGTTCCGTTGTGACAGATTCCAGGGCCACGTTGAGGGGCCCTACCCCACCACCCATGGCTGCTTCTGGACTTGTTTTAGGTTTGGGTCCCGCGCACGGACAGAATGGGCACGAAAATGTGAAAAAAATGTAAATGCATTTGTTTGGCTCCTGGGTGGCTCGCACACCGTAGCACTATGCCGGAAATTTGAGTTTTTCCGGCCTGGAAAGCCTGTCAGTGAGACGCAAGAACTTGTAAATCATGTCCTGAGGGCCAGCATAGTGGCAGGAGTGTGTGGTCAAAATTTCACTCAAATCCACTGAGAAACACCAAAGTTACGGTCAATTGAATGCCATATGAAATTTTTGGGTGATGTGCCCCCTTAAGGGGGCACATCACCCAAAAATTCGCTGAAAAATCGAATTTGTAAATTCATATTGAGTGCTACGTCAGTTGAAAGAGCATGAATAGCTGCAAATTCTCTGAAAACTGTGTCCCTATCTGACCAGCCGTTCAAGAGTTATGGCCGAAAATGTGCCCTTGCAAGGAAAGATTTTTTTGTTGCATGCTGTCATTTGTTGGCAGCACTGTATTTGAATGTGAGCAGACCGTGCGCAACTTGTCGTATTATGGAAACACGCGAAAGTGTGCAGAATTTTGCCCCAAGTCCAAAAAAGTCCAAAAAATCACGTTAAAAAACCACGTATTGGGCTGCACGGCGGCGGGCGAAGCCCGCCGCCGTGCAGCAGGACTTTTGCCAGCACCCTCGTGACGTTGCAGATATGTGGCTTGATTATTGTAGTTGACGTTGATTTAGTGACTTTGGCAAGTTTGAGTCGTGTCAAGAAGTCAGGTAGGATTCAGTACTAGGCAGTAGTGAAACGTGAGTGGCAGTCTTTGCCGGTTTCTGAGGGCATCCTGGATTTGGTTTGCAGCGCTGTGGAAATGGCTTGCTGTGGAGGTCCCAGCACTGGATGTTGTATCAAAGGTACGACCTCGTAGCACGTGCCAAACCTAAAAAAATTCAAAAATTGCCTTGGGTCTGTGGGAGTCCGTGAAAGAACGCCCACTCGTTCCGTTGTGACAGATTCCAGGGCCACGTTGAGGGGCCCTACCCCACCACCCATGGCTGCTTCTGGACTTGTTTTAGGTTTGGGTCCCGCGCACGGACAGAATGGGCACGAAAATGTGAAAAAAATGTAAATGCATTTGTTTGGCTCCTGGGTGGCTCGCACACCGTAGCACTATGCCGGAAATTTGAGTTTTTCCGGCCTGGAAAGCCTGTCAGTGAGACGCAAGAACTTGTAAATCATGTCCTGAGGGCCAGCATAGTGGCAGGAGTGTGTGGTCAAAATTTCACTCAAATCCACTGAGAAACACCAAAGTTACGGTCAATTGAATGCCATATGAAATTTTTGGGTGATGTGCCCCCTTAAGGGGGCACATCACCCAAAAATTCGCTGAAAAATCGAATTTGTAAATTCATATTGAGTGCTACGTCAGTTGAAAGAGCATGAATAGCTGCAAATTCTCTGAAAACTGTGTCCCTATCTGACCAGCCGTTCAAGAGTTATGGCCGAAAATGTGCCCTTGCAAGGAAAGATTTTTTTGTTGCATGCTGTCATTTGTTGGCAGCACTGTATTTGAATGTGAGCAGACCGTGCGCAACTTGTCGTATTATGGAAACACGCGAAAGTGTGCAGAATTTTGCCCCAAGTCCAAAAAAGTCCAAAAAATCACGTTAAAAAACCACGTATTGGGCTGCACGGCGGCGGGCGAAGCCCGCCGCCGTGCAGCAGGACTTTTGCCAGCACCCTCGTGACGTTGCAGATATGTGGCTTGATTATTGTAGTTGACGTTGATTTAGTGACTTTGGCAAGTTTGAGTCGTGTCAAGAAGTCAGGTAGGATTCAGTACTAGGCAGTAGTGAAACGTGAGTGGCAGTCTTTGCCGGTTTCTGAGGGCATCCTGGATTTGGTTTGCAGCGCTGTGGAAATGGCTTGCTGTGGAGGTCCCAGCACTGGATGTTGTATCAAAGGTACGACCTCGTAGCACGTGCCAAACCTAAAAAAATTCAAAAATTGCCTTGGGTCTGTGGGAGTCCGTGAAAGAACGCCCACTCGTTCCGTTGTGACAGATTCCAGGGCCACGTTGAGGGGCCCTACCCCACCACCCATGGCTGCTTCTGGACTTGTTTTAGGTTTGGGTCCCGCGCACGGACAGAATGGGCACGAAAATGTGAAAAAAATGTAAATGCATTTGTTTGGCTCCTGGGTGGCTCGCACACCGTAGCACTATGCCGGAAATTTGAGTTTTTCCGGCCTGGAAAGCCTGTCAGTGAGACGCAAGAACTTGTAAATCATGTCCTGAGGGCCAGCATAGTGGCAGGAGTGTGTGGTCAAAATTTCACTCAAATCCACTGAGAAACACCAAAGTTACGGTCAATTGAATGCCATATGAAATTTTTGGGTGATGTGCCCCCTTAAGGGGGCACATCACCCAAAAATTCGCTGAAAAATCGAATTTGTAAATTCATATTGAGTGCTACGTCAGTTGAAAGAGCATGAATAGCTGCAAATTCTCTGAAAACTGTGTCCCAATCTGACCAGCCGTTCAAGAGTTATGGCCGAAAATGTGCCCTTGCAAGGAAAGATTTTTTTGTTGCATGCTGTCATTTGTTGGCAGCACTGTATTTGAATGTGAGCAGACCGTGCGCAACTTGTCGTATTATGGAAACACGCGAAAGTGTGCAGAATTTTGCCCCAAGTCCAAAAAAGTCCAAAAAATCACGTTAAAAAACCACGTATTGGGCTGCACGGCGGCGGGCGAAGCCCGCCGCCGTGCAGCAGGACTTTTGCCAGCACCCTCGTGACGTTGCAGATATGTGGCTTGATTATTGTAGTTGACGTTGATTTAGTGACTTTGGCAAGTTTGAGTCGTGTCAAGAAGTCAGGTAGGATTCAGTACTAGGCAGTAGTGAAACGTGAGTGGCAGTCTTTGCCGGTTTCTGAGGGCATCCTGGATTTGGTTTGCAGCGCTGTGGAAATGGCTTGCTGTGGAGGTCCCAGCACTGGATGTTGTATCAAAGGTACGACCTCGTAGCACGTGCCAAACCTAAAAAAATTCAAAAATTGCCTTGGGTCTGTGGGAGTCCGTGAAAGAACGCCCACTCGTTCCGTTGTGACAGATTCCAGGGCCACGTTGAGGGGCCCTACCCCACCACCCATGGCTGCTTCTGGACTTGTTTTAGGTTTGGGTCCCGCGCACGGACAGAATGGGCACGAAAATGTGAAAAAAATGTAAATGCATTTGTTTGGCTCCTGGGTGGCTCGCACACCGTAGCACTATGCCGGAAATTTGAGTTTTTCCGGCCTGGAAAGCCTGTCAGTGAGACGCAAGAACTTGTAAATCATGTCCTGAGGGCCAGCATAGTGGCAGGAGTGTGTGGTCAAAATTTCACTCAAATCCACTGAGAAACACCAAAGTTACGGTCAATTGAATGCCATATGAAATTTTTGGGTGATGTGCCCCCTTAAGGGGGCACATCACCCAAAAATTCGCTGAAAAATCGAATTTGTAAATTCATATTGAGTGCTACGTCAGTTGAAAGAGCATGAATAGCTGCAAATTCTCTGAAAACTGTGTCCCTATCTGACCAGCCGTTCAAGAGTTATGGCCGAAAATGTGCCCTTGCAAGGAAAGATTTTTTTGTTGCATGCTGTCATTTGTTGGCAGCACTGTATTTGAATGTGAGCAGACCGTGCGCAACTTGTCGTATTATGGAAACACGCGAAAGTGTGCAGAATTTTGCCCCAAGTCCAAAAAAGTCCAAAAAATCACGTTAAAAAACCACGTATTGGGCTGCACGGCGGCGGGCGAAGCCCGCCGCCGTGCAGCAGGACTTTTGCCAGCACCCTCGTGACGTTGCAGATATGTGGCTTGATTATTGTAGTTGACGTTGATTTAGTGACTTTGGCAAGTTTGAGTCGTGTCAAGAAGTCAGGTAGGATTCAGTACTAGGCAGTAGTGAAACGTGAGTGGCAGTCTTTGCCGGTTTCTGAGGGCATCCTGGATTTGGTTTGCAGCGCTGTGGAAATGGCTTGCTGTGGAGGTCCCAGCACTGGATGTTGTATCAAAGGTACGACCTCGTAGCACGTGCCAAACCTAAAAAAATTCAAAAATTGCCTTGGGTCTGTGGGAGTCCGTGAAAGAACGCCCACTCGTTCCGTTGTGACAGATTCCAGGGCCACGTTGAGGGGCCCTACCCCACCACCCATGGCTGCTTCTGGACTTGTTTTAGGTTTGGGTCCCGCGCACGGACAGAATGGGCACGAAAATGTGAAAAAAATGTAAATGCATTTGTTTGGCTCCTGGGTGGCTCGCACACCGTAGCACTATGCCGGAAATTTGAGTTTTTCCGGCCTGGAAAGCCTGTCAGTGAGACGCAAGAACTTGTAAATCATGTCCTGAGGGCCAGCATAGTGGCAGGAGTGTGTGGTCAAAATTTCACTCAAATCCACTGAGAAACACCAAAGTTACGGTCAATTGAATGCCATATGAAATTTTTGGGTGATGTGCCCCCTTAAGGCGTCACCGAAAATCCTCACACTACACTGTCTTGGTACGAGCTCCTGATCCCCTATTTCGAGAAACTAGACGAGAAGTCACAAGTAGTTAGTTATGAAAACGTGCGCTTACACAAGTCAACATGCACACCGCATTTCGAAGCATACGGAAAATTAGCCTTCTCTCAGGCTACGGTGAATCAGCTCAGTGAGTGGGTGAAATATTGAAACTTTGAAAGTTAATCATTGATGCAGTTCATTGGCATGCAAGCATGCAGTCAATACTACATGAACAATGATGTATATCATTGTTGCCTGATGATTGCCGCGCCATGAAACATTGAGTCACAGTCAGAGCTAGAGCAGAGCTACATGTAGAGGGAGGCTAAAAATCTCTTCTTTTTGTCATTACGCCATTAAATCACTGAGGAAAAAGTGGAAATACTGTCACTAAAATGTGATGATTTAAAAACATGCTCAATAAAAATAATGATAACATGCAGCAAATGAAGGTGTGCTCAAATATTCAAGGCACATGATAATCATCCGGCTCGGAGTACCGCAGAAAGGTACACAGGGGAGATAAGATCGAATGTGGGCTCGCAAACGGAACAAAGTTCGCAGCTAACGCCGAGACCTCTGGCCTGTCGAGTTTCTCCCTGTACATCGGTACGTCGTCCCTGCATCCCCTGTGTCTTGTTTCGTGTTGGTCTCCAATTTTCTTTCAGTAGGGTTGTGTTCTTAGTCAAAAGAAAAAGAAAAGAAGTGTCCATGAGAGTAGACTCTGTTCAGAAGTGCGTACAATAAAATGACATTGGAAATTCCACGTGTGTGGTCCTGCAAATGAAGTAATATCAACAACGGTGGGATCGTGAGACGTGCAGTCAGCGTGGGTTAAACACACGGATACACAGGAAGAATATCAGTAAGAGTGGAGAGGTGGCAAACAGCATCACGGCTGCAACAGCACCGGCCAAAATGTGAATAGTACGGTAGAAGACACCCTGGTCCATGGGGAACGTGGTACCCAGTTCGGCGTCGTAACGAAAGCAGCCGTAGCAGCACGCGTCCCAGCAGCTGTACCGATCCACCTGTATACAGCAGCAGTCTACCGCGTCCTGCACGTTGTTGCTATGCCAACAGCGGGCGCAGGCGCTCGACGACTCGCAGCAGCACACGTGCGCGTACGTGCAGTCCAGGCACTCGGCACAACATGCACCGCAGGCAGAGGCACAGCGCTTGCTGCCACTCCGCTGCTGGTGTGTCAACGGTGAGTGGGATGCTGCGGAGGCGGCCGTCAGCCGACTATCCCCGTGTTGAAGCGGAGGCGGTGGTGCCACACCCCCTAGCCCGGGAGCGTGCCGATTATCTGATGGATTGTACGCCGCTGGAAGATGTCGTCCGGTTGCTGCTGTTGGTGCTGTTGTTACAGGCGGTGGCGGCATTGATGGCCGACAGTCCGGCATCTCCATGGACAATGCCTCGTTGTAGCTCGGTGGTGGCTCTTCGCTTACTGTTCACAACAAAGAGATGGTAAATGGTGCATGCGTGCATGGACAGGCATTTGAACAGACAAGTGCACGCACACACAAATGTACAACCGCACACACGAGCACGCACGCACACACACAAACAAATTAACTTCAACACATAGCTTCAAGTTGTTGGGATCCGGAGAGTCAGGGCCAGGGGAGTGATAGGCTAAAGAAAGGGATGGGTTAGTGGTCACTGCAAAAACTAGAGTCACCAGGAAGCGTAGGTGAGTGTTCATGTCCAAGGGAACTCAGCGGCACCGGATACACTACGGTCACAGGGAATTTTCTAGAACCGCCCAACCGGTTTTCACCCGTTTGCAATTGTTGGCGACTGGTTGAAAAGTTACAAATCAGTTCCAACCGCCCGTACTTTTCTGTGGGTGAATGGAGCTGCTTATATCTTTGCTACACTCCAGCACCAAGAAATCTGTTAAATTGCTGTCGAGTGCCATATTTGGGTTGTATTTTGAAAAAAATGTCCAGGGGGGACCCCCCAACTCTTCATTGGACCGTAACCGGTTGGAAATTCGTCCTAGAATATACCCTGGGTCACTACGGCATTGACCGTACCACAGGCACTCTTTGTCCCAGGTACACCGTAAAACAAAAAAATGCACCGATTTGAGCTCCAGATTTCGGAAAAAAATTCAGCGGAGCCACCCGCACGCAACAAGTAAATTGTGCCTTCGATGGCGGACCGTGCCACTCCAAATTACCTTCCGACGCCCCTGCCTGGAACTGATAACCTGGAACTGATAACCTGGAACTGATAACCTGGAACTGATAACCTGCAACTGATAACCTGCAACTGATAACCTGCAACTGATAACCTGCAACTGATAACCTGCAACTGATAACCTGCAACTGATAACCTGCAACTGATAACCTGCAACTGATAACCTGCAACTGATAACCTGCAACTGATAACCTGGAACTGATAACGACAGTCCTGAGTTGCTGGAAACAGAAGTAACCAGCGCTATTATTTACCAATATTGCGTACAAGTACTGAAATTTCACAAATTTGCGGTGTACTTTTATTTCCGGCACTTTCGGTGCGTCTGTTTCATACCTACAATTTCAATACACCGAACAAACACTAACACACATAATCCAATAGGGAATTGCTACTCTGTACCTAAATTTTCTGTTCCCCTACTAATCTGGCCTTTTGCCCTAATACCGAAAATATCGAGCACCTAAAATTTCTGAGTTCTTGAGTGGTTTGAGATGGGGAGATGGGATGGATTACAAACTGAAAACTGATAAACAGTCGGTGTGATCAAACAATGAACTACCCGAAACCAGAAAGAAGAACAGTTTGCCACCACCGTGCACGGAGACAGCTGATTTGAACAACTACTGTTCCATGCGACCATGGACTTGCTATGCAGTGTCGTTATTCAGATGCAGTATCGGGCCATATATGAACTAGGAGTACAGGATCTGTAAGCTAGGAGTACAAATCTGTAAGCTAGGAGTACAAATCTGTAAGCCAGGAGTACAACAGCAGACGGCTCCGATTTTGAAAGATCTTCAATAATTATAGGGACTGACTGTGCACGTAGCTCCATGAGCTTTACACCGCTGGGATAGAGGGGCACATACACCGCTCTATCAACCTCACGGGCATCGGACACGGTACGGTCACTACGGTATTGACCGTACCACATTTGGTCCCCAGGCACCCCATAAATCAGTCCAAAGCACTGATTTGGAATCTAAATTTCGAACATTTTCAGCGGAGCCATCCCTGCCAATAAGTAAACTGTGTATCAGATGGCTGACAGCGCACCGCCTTTTAAGATGAAAAGTTACCTTACCACGCTCCAGAACCTGGTAAAGCCATGGATAACAATCACCCCCAAAGGTGTACGTACTTCGAAGTACTCCACAGAATTCCAAACCCCTACTAAGGTTAACAGGACTCACTTCCGGTGCTTTGCAGACACTTTGAATTGAGTGCTGCAAGTAAAGAAATCATGTTTACTTCATCTGATCTGTGCATGTTACGGGCCCTTCGGTCTACCGGGCACCCTTTGAGCAAATTTCAGTGGAAATATTACTACTTCTGTCACTTGGATGCAGTGAATGGGATTTTCGGTCTTTGACCACTTTGCTGGTGGGCTGATCTACTCCCCCCCCCCCCCCACCGTTTTAGGAGCTGCATATGCACCTTAGATCTTTGCAGGATGGTGCCGCTGCTATGGATGCTGAAAACTCAGTCTAACCGAGTTTCACGCAACCGTGAATCTTTTTTTTGTTGTTTTTTTGTCACTTTTGTGGAAATAGTGACGCCACATGCCATATCTATGGCTTTTTCCCCATCAAAATGTGTTTGATTCGGAGTTACGGACATTTCAAATTTACAGGCAGTGCCAGGTCCCGGACCGCCCTGGATAAACGAGGTATGAGTGTATCTGTGTTGATTGCATGTCCTGCGAGATTGAGACGAACAAACAAAAATAAATAAACAAACCATCTGATCATCAGACCACTACAGTACTGTCGGTCGCCGAAAAACTGGCGGGTCAGCCTCCTAGCCTAGACCGTTGTTATTTTCACGTACTAGTCCATGGGCAGTTGAGTCACTGAGTATACATTGGTATGTTGTGCTTGGTGAAATCCCAGCCGGGTCGTTCTTTACCGCCCAACACTACTGTCACATTGCACATTTTCTCTAATCTTTTGTTTTCGTGGAGCGCTTGGGTTGCAATGAAGCCGAGACCCCATGGCCGGTCAAGCTGCCCCTGCCTCTCCCCCACTGCTGCCATTCCATATGTCTCATCGCTGCCTTGCTGCTTTGTGTCGTCAAATGTGTGTGTGTGTTTTTTTTGTAAAAATACACCAGTGGGATTGTGACTGAACAACTCACTGATATCGTTCACGACCGTTGTTGGCGGCCGTGCCTGAGCCGGAGATGCCTGTACACCGGGCAACGGGGTTGTCATTGGCGACGCTGGCAGGGAAATGGCCGCCACCGTCGAGCGATGCACAACGCGTCTCGGGATGCCCGGTGACGGAGTATGAACGATGAAGTTTGGCGGCGACTGTGAGTTGCCAAGCCGCTGCTCATTGTACCTAATCAGTTCGGCCAGTGAGAGGAAGTCCACGCCCTGCAGTGCGGTACGGTACAGCATAAAGTGACAAACATCTTACTGTAAGACCAGTAATGTTAACGGACATTATTTAATTTTAACGATTTAACGAATTTAAACAGTTCGTTAACATTTGAAGTCGTTATGTGCAAAACTATATGTATATGTACAGTCATTTGCCGGTTTTGAGACAGAATTCGTTAGCATTTCACCTCGCTAACCCACAAAAATCCGGAGATTGTTAACTTTAACTGACGTTAGAATATCTGGTCTCACAGTAGTACTATGGACCCAAGGAGCGTGCTCCAGGAGATACCAAGAGTACCTGCTGTTTTGAGTATAAGCTGCACTGGGGTGTAAGCCGAACATAGATTTACTGTCACGAAATACAGACATCTACGCTGTACGTCACGGTTCATTTGACAATCGTTGTATAAACCTAACCAGCCTTTTGTGGGTGAACGTACGAGTGTTACAAGTGCAGCTTATAATAATTATTATACTCTGGAGAATACGGCAAATCCAAACAGTGAGGATCTCTACTGGAACGTGATAATATTGAGTTCGCCATTGGCAAAACCCCACAGCATGTAGTGCAGTGTTTATGATGTGCAAGCCTGGCATTGCCTCAGCAAGCAACTGAGTAGTGAAGATAGCACTCCCTGACAGGAAGCCCCACAGCTCATGCGAGTCAAGGCAGATCATTGGAGGATGTGGCAGCTTGGGACCTGCGTGCGACTGGCATCTCGGAGGCGCACTTTGCTCAAGACAGGAGGAACTAATGTGAGTTTAGCTGTCGGAAGCCACAAAGCCAGTCCCAACCAAGAGTGTTCATCTGTGTCTGCGTCCGTGACTCCCATCGTCAGACGACTTATCTCAACATAAAAATCATTATCTCGCCAAACAGCTATCATTGCCTTTAGCGATGGGCTCTCCAACGGTCCAAAGGTGTGTGTGTGTGTATGTGTGTGTGTGTGTGTGTGTGTGTATGTGTGTGTGTGTGTATGTGTGTGTGTGTGTGTCCACCCAGAGTTTGAGGATTTCAGAGGGTGTGGGCAGCGGTTCAATAGACAATTGTGTCATCTTTCCAAGATGCCCTTTGAATCTCTCTCCCCTCTCCCAGGGAGGCTCTGTGACCAATCATGGCAGTGAGCAAGTACAAGTACAAGTGTGTGTGTGTGTGTATGTGTGTGTGTGTGTGCGTGTGTGTATGTGTGTTTGTGCATGCGTGTGCAGACATTCGTTTGCCGAGTAACTATACATACCGGTATCCTCACCTGTCCCTGTAAAAAGAAATTCCCGTTCCGCTCAACAATGAGACTGTGTAGAAGATCATTTTGCAGCGTACTGCAGGACAGAGAAGGACACACAAAGTGATACATGCCCCATAAAGTGCCGTAAGAGCGCCCCACCAGCTTTTCAACAAACACCTGCTATCTGTGCACCTCAGGATAGTAGGTAAATACTAGACCGCAGTGACTGTAACCCACGGGTACGGTTTGAAAGGGTCCCATACCGTAAAGTCGCGGATAAAAGCCGGGTCTGCGTACAAGCACATCGCGGATAGAAGCCTGAAAATCAAACGGGTCAAATGCATATAAGCCTGTCGCGCGTAGAAGCCTGGCTTCTATGCAAGCGCGGATCGGGTAGGTCAAGAGTGCATGTGCTATGTACAGTGCATAGTTAAACTGCCACCATACCGGTAGTCAGTGGTAGATCTACGCGTGTCGCGCGTAGAAGCCTGGCTTCTATGCAAGTGTGGTGCATATAAGCATGGTTTGCATTAAAGCCTGATGCAGAAAGCGGCTTATGTGCTCGTAAGCCCGGCTTTTATCCGCGACTTTACAGTATATGGAAGGTTTCCGAAATCATGCTATACCGTGACGACCATAGTACTGGACACCAAAACCTGCGAGCAATACGTCTCCAAATCTGTCGTCTGCTGAAAAATTAGGTCTCTATGGCATTGACATCAGTGTTTCTTAGCGCTCTGCTGCTGCCAGGAAACCAGAAAGCTAGTTTGTCTTAGCACCCGCGATATACTATGGGGGGGGGGGATAGCCTGAAAGCCACACGGAGGGAGTACGCGCTTCGTAAGGCATAAGCCTAAACAATTAACCATTAGTTCTCTCACCGTATAGATATGACATAGGATCCGTCCTGTGTGCTGCGCTTCCTGACCAGAAATGTGCCGTTAAATCGCAGCCGCTGCTCGGCTAGATCACGACTAATGTTACCATGGTACCATCTGAGAAAGGGAAAATAGGAAAATTTTATTTGACAATATGAGAGAGAGAGAGAGAGAGAGAGAGAGAGAGAGAGAGAGAGAGAGAGAGAGAGAGAGAGAGACACACACACACACACACACACACACACAGACAAAGAGAGAGACAAAGAGAGAGACAAAGAGAGAGAGACAAAGAGAGAGAGAAAGAGAGAGAGAGGAAGAGAGAAAGAAAGAGAGAGAGAGAGCATGTGGAGTTAAACCAAGGGTACATAACCCCCAAGAGTGTGCAACTGCCTGCACAACCTCTATACAGTGCTGCGACGGCAGAACTTCACATCACGTGACATGGTTCAAAAGGTTACGCTGGCAAACAGTGCAAAGTGACCACAAGGAGAGTTGAACCCAAAGCAGGGTTGCGTACAACCCTGTATCTATCATGCACAGGGCGCAAATAATGCGTACAGGTTTGTCACGTGATGTGAAGTTCTGCCGTCGCAGACCCCATAGCTGGCGTGGCACCCTCTGGGGGGGGGGGGGGGGGGGGTAATGTACTCTTGGTTATACCGAATTCAATGGTAAATAGGCCGAAAGGTGCCGCTTCTCCTCCTATACTATCAAGTATGTTGCACCATTCAAGCAGCAGCCGAGGGAGTTAGAGGAAGAGGGTAGAGAGTGGTAGAGCAACGGCGATGACTCTCAACGGCAAGAACACTACCAGGCGGACATCCAACCACAACGCGGCAACCGGAGTCAATGCCCAACGAGCCTCGAAAATGTCGGCAAGCATGCCTACGGTAATGTGTGTTCAAAACTGTAAATACCATGGAGATGCCTAACAGCCGCAGTGTAACACCCGGCTATGTGACGAACACAAAAGGGAAGCATGTACGAGCGCATATGGAAGCAGGAGCTCTAGGCGCGTGCATACGGGGTGCAGGAGTTGCACCATATACGGAAGTATGCCATATACATCAATAACACCACGGTGCGGTGACAAGTGAGTGTAAGGTGTGAATGCCCCGGGATCCCGGGAGTCTATCATATTACTTGTCTCACTGCTACCATCATCCAGTATTCTTACATGATCCACACAGCCGTATATTATGAGGAAAACGTATTCCCGTAGCTATGCAGAAGATCAGAGATCTTACTCATAGAAGCGCCTGGCGCTAGCCAGGGTCCACAGCGCTTTATTTTGTATGTTTGTGTGTGTAAACGTGTGGTCCGTCATCGCGTGACCCCATGAGCGAGTTCAGCAAACAGATCACGATGATGAACAAGCACAGCGAAGGGTCCTGAACTAGCTCTCTTGTTTGCCTATACACTCATATCTCTCTTACCCGGATCTCCAAGACTTAGTTACGGGCACCTCAGTCTACGGGACACCCTGGGGGTGAGTCTTAATGGAAATATTACTACTCGTTTGCCAATTTCGTGCACATAGAGACGTCACGATCTCTGGCCCTTCCCTATCAGAATGTATGAGATTCGGAGTTACGGACATTTCAAAGTTACTGGCAGTGCCCGGTCCCGGGTCGCCCGGATAAGCGACGGTATGAGTATATCTACAACAACTGTAACTTGGAGGTCGTGTTGCTGGTATCAGTGACGTTTGGCCTGAGAGCGCATGTAATGTAGAGTAAGACCTGTATCTAAAGACCACCGTGACTAGCGACCAGCCTGGTACTACAGTAAAACCTGTAACTAAAGACCACCGTGACTAGCGACCAGCCTGGTACTACAGTAAAACCTGTAACTAAAGACCACCGTGACTAGCGACCGGCCTGGTACTACAGTAAAACCTGTAACTAAAGACCACCGTGACTAGCGACCAGCCTGGTACTACAGTAAAACCTGTAACTAAAGACCACCGTGACTAGCGACCGGCCTGGTACTACAGTAAAACCTGTAACTAAAGACCACCGTGACTAGCGACCGGCCTGGTACTACAGTAAAACCTGTAACTAAAGACCACCGTGACTAGCAACCAGCCTGGTACTACAGTAAAACCTGTAACTAAAGACCACCGTGACTAGCGACCGGCCTGGTACTACAGTAAAACCTGTAACTAAAGACCACCGTGACTAGCGACCAGCCTGGTACTACAGTAAAACCTGTAACTAAAGACCACCGTGACTAGCGACCGGCCTGGTACTACAGTAAAACCTGTAACTAAAGACCACCGTGACTAGCGACCAGCCTGGTACTACAGTAAAACCTGTAACTAAAGACCACCGTGACTAGCGACCGGCCTGGTACTACAGACCACTTCACCAGGCACGGACGGTCTCACGTTCATAAATTAATAATATAATGGTTGAGTGGTGCAAACCTCTAACTAAGGACCACCTGCCACTAAAGACCGCATTCTCTGGCCCCAAGGGGTGGTCGTTAGTTACAGGTTTTACTGTAGCTGGCACTGAACGTAATTCAAATTTTTAAATTTTGGCCAGTCCATAATAATTATTATGTGTGACGACAATTACAATGCATGCCATGATGATCCATTTGAAAATGCACAGCATGCCTAGATAATATCACTGGCTTTGTACTCACTCGTAACGAGAAAGTGGATCGGTTGTCGTGCCATTTGCCATGTCTGAATACCGTGCAGTGCGACAGCTAGCAATCCAGGTACGGCGGATTTACGTGCTGCGCGTTCCCTTGCCAGGCAGTCAGCCAACAAGTGCACGTCCTCGCAACTCAAGTACCTGCACTGTGCCACTCCGAATCGCCACGCGCACTTCACCGCCTCACGGTCGGTCGGCTCCTGGGCATGTCTGTGCGCGCCTGATTACTGATCGCCTGGGGCTCTGCAAGACTAGCTCGTCGCCGCGCTGAGCGCGATAGCACCTCAGACAAGAACAAACATTGATCTCAACTCAAATAATAATTATCCAGTGTATGTTTCCGAACCACTTTGAGCTCTTTGATACTTCGGACAAGCTCACTGGTTGCTACTCCAGAGAGATAGAGCAGAGGATTTTGGCTGGGGAAAGAAACCACCGCTCGGTCTTCCACCGTTTGCATCAGTGGCCAGTTGGGACCTACCGCAGCAACCGGATCATTTTCAGCTTCAGGATTTCTTGAACACGAAGCATCACATCAATTAATTCAATAACATGTACAGGTTCCTGCACGAGTATGAGGGCAGTACCGCGGAATCCTGCCCGCGCCGCGATAGCGGCAAGGGCTGGATGAGCAGCGGTGCTGACCGAGTATGAGTGACTGGAACGTGTTTCCCGTATGCACCCAAGCCAAGGAGATCACTCACAATCTTTGACGTTTGAGTTTACATGAACCATTCTGTGACTTGACTCGAGTCCTGTATGGCTGTATGAGGCTGTGTCAGTGTGAGCTGAGTGAGAGTGACTTCGACAACCGGACACGGACTACAGACTCAGTACACGACTTTTGCATGTACTTTCAGACCACAGAAGCTTGTCATTGAAATGGTAGACTCACGAGTGGATTCTGTCCACTGCCCGTCGTCAAGTGACGACGGGCAGTGGATTCTGTCCACTGCCCGTCGTCAAGTGACGACGGGCAGTGGATTCCGTCCACTGCCCGTCGTCACTTGACGACGGGCAGTGGAACTAGTTCCATCACCATTCATCAGGCAGGATCGCGCTTTCCAGCCCGCGTAATTTGATCTGTCATTGGTCGACTCCAAGGCGACAGTCATGTGACATACGGGAATATTGGATTACTGCAACGCTGCCCGGCCCTATCAATCATAATCCTAGGCCATGCGCTGATGCAGGCATTGGGCTACTCGTAGAAGTACAGATATAATCATGTATTGTTGACGGAGTGACATCCGCACGGCCGGGCCGACAGGAGGAGTGCCTGGCCGGGTGAGACTGACTCAGAGACAGTGAGAGTGGCGAGTGAACGCCGACTTTTGTAGTGACACTGACAGTTGGGCATGCACCATAATATTATCCGTGGATCCACGTACAAGTAAAATGTCTGGGATCCTCTGCGATCCGCGGGCCAAACCAAGCTGGTCAGGTACCTGGGTACAGCGGCTGCATGCATATGCAGCCCAGACCAAGGCAACGGCCAGGCTCAAACTACTGCATGATTGAAACGTGCAAAACCGCACGAAAAACTACAGTCAACTTCGCCAATAACGACATTCGGCGGGGCAACAGAAAAGTGTCCTTATTCACGAAGTGTCCTTATAACCGAAGTCCCATTTGAATGTATGTGAACCCATATTTTGTATAGTATGACATGCATATCAAAATCAAGCTCTTTTCTTGCTCTATGTCAATGTGTACTTTATTTTCATATTGCAGTTGAAAGGAACTAAAAATTCAATATGCAAGGGAAATCAATTGAAAAATATGCCTTTTTGAGCCATCTACAGGGCCAGAGACATGTACATGTATGATGATTTCTGTACAATCATGTACAACTACATGTACATTGTATACATATAGGTGTGCTGGTAAATCCAACAATTTTGAAGCCAACATAAAAAAGGAAGAAAAAGCCCCCCTTGGCTGCATTTTCTTGCATGTGTGCCTTTATAATAATAATACCCATCACCATAGGTTCTGGTACTTCTGCATGACAGGTACATGTACTTGACTGACAGGTACTTGAAATAGCTGTCAAAAGCCCAGAAAGTCGTTATTCAAGCAGTGAATATGACCTCGGGGCACTAAAAGCATGTCGCTATACGCGAATTGTCGTTATTCAGATAGTCGTTATATCCGAAGTTAAATGTATACAGTTAGATGGGACTTTGCTCTGGGCATGGAAATTCGGTCGTTATTCGCGAATTGTCGTTATATCCGAAGTCGTTATTAGCGAAGTTGACTGTACTCCATCTATCTCCGCATTTCCGTGCAGAAGCAGCGGGGGTTGTTGACATCTGTCCGGAATCAGCCAAAAATATCCTCAGTCAGCCAGAACTGTTACTTTGGCAGAAGGCCGAAGCATACACGGACACGCGTGATATGCGCAGATCATACCGGCCGGGTCGGTACACATTATTATGTTTACAGTACGAACTGTTAGAGTTACGCCCAGATAAAGGCAACAGATCCACCGTGAGTCATAGGAATATTACAATTTTATAATAGCTATAAAGAGAACAAATTCTGCTGTCATCGCCACACTTTAACAAAGTCATGAAGGTTTACCAAAATCGATTTTCTTGTCACAATCATCAGTGGAAAGCCGTGACTGAAGAATAACCATGCCAAATCAATAATTTATCTACATTCAATAATGTGTTACGAGAACAAAACAAAGTGCTAAAAATAGAATGAGGGAATAGTGCCTCCATTACCCGTATCGAGAGCCGTGGAGATGGATAATGTGCACATTGTCACTAACGTTATAACACAATGCACCATAACAACACAAGAAAGTACACCACAACAACATCCAGCTCAAGACCAAAGTAGACGCTGCGGCGAGGTGATCATGGTGATGCCCCCATCGCCATCGTTGCCGTTGCCTCCCCCAGAACCGCCACCTGCATCTGCCATCGGCAGTGCTGGGGCTGAGTCTGTGGTGTCGCTGGAACGGGCAAATATGGATGAAGTGAGCACTGAACATGAAAAAGAAGAAAGAAGGCTGAGGGAAACGGAATTCAACAGAGAAAACAATACGATCAACATTCAAAGACCTAGACGATCAACGGCTAATTATTCAATGAATTATTACAGTACTGGATGTCGAGCACCGGTGAAGGCACTGGGAACAGAAGATTTAGCAACAACAGGAACAACGGCAATGACAACAACAGCAATGGTAACAGGTTACCGTCAAGATCAAGGGAGGAGTCAACGAACAGAGGTTCAGCAACGTGAAGCGAGCCTGGGACCGATCGGTGGTGATGAGGAGAATGACACGGAGGACGACACTGAGGATAAGTTGGAAGATGAGACGGGGGACGAGGTTGCGGTTGGTGGAGACGAGGAATCGGATGGTGATTGTGATCGTAAGAAGTCTGCCGTTTTTCTTCATCTGTTGTCTCACCCTAAGTGTCTGCAGGTGTATGATGATTTTAGTTTTTCTGTTCTTTGTCGTGCACGGTACGCTAGTCAGTTGAAAGTACTTGAGGCTGTTTGTATTCGTTTGCATAAGCCTGATCTTTGTAAGCAGAAGAAACATGTAGTTGCGTTAAGATTGTTTTCGTAGGTGCACAGCATGATTGCTTGTCTCACTACATAGTTCTAGCGTTGCAATTAGTTCCTCACCCCTGTTGCACTTAGCTCTCACTTTACTTCTATTGTCTCACCTTCCCTCATTCTATTTTTAGCACTTTGTTTTGTTCTCGTAACACATTATTGAATGTAGATAAATTATTGATTTGGCATGGCTATTCTTCAGTCACGGCTTTTGTGACAAGAAAATCGATTTTGGTAAACCTTCATGACTTTTAAAATCTTGTAGGACGCATCACGCAGCTTCATAAGTAAAAAATTTGGTTGTGAGCAACACTGGCTCACACTCAAATAACTGCTTTTCACCAGAAAAATACTATATTTCAACGTTTCGGTCATGAAATAACCATCATCAGGAATGAAGTGGGCACACCGGTTAGGATGGGTTAATATATGAGGAGCGCTGCGAACTGATAACAAATCACACCTGCATGCACTATGACGAGAGAGAGAACAAAAGGACAAAACATCACCAAAAAAAACCAGGTATAGAAATAACGCAATACGCGACAACTCTAAATATGGCACAGGTACAAGCAACAAACAGAATGTACATGTGCACTAGGTGCGTGCAGACATGTAATTGCAGGCGCTAGCAACAACAGTAGTAGTAACAGTGCACTAGTGCAAGGGGTGCAAAAACCACCACTATCCAGGAAGAGCGAGTATCAGGGCCAGAAATATGTACAAGGCGGTACTTCACCAGAGAATTCACAGGAGGTCCCATCCTGCGTTATTGTTTATGCTGGGACTCGTGTCGCGAATTTGTATTGCTTCGCGTATTCTCCTCCTGGCCCGATCCGACTCGGTGGCAAGGACGCGAACCTCTGTGAATGCCGACTCGCCAAGCGGCAGTACCTCGCCGCCATGGTGAAGTCGGTAGTGCTCGCCCAGGGCTTTTCCAGACGTCTTGTTGCGTGAGTTATCATTGTGTTCTTTTGTTCGCGTTGCTACACTACGGCCAGTCTCTCCAACATACTTCTCCGAGCACTTGCAGGTCAGACGATAAACCACGTTGCGTCTTGTGCATTCTACCTCGTTATTTCTATACCTGGTTTTTTTTGGTGATGTTTTGTCCTTTTGTTCTCTCTCTCGTCATAGTGCATGCAGGTGTGATTTGTTATCAGTTCGCAGCGCTCCTCATATATTAACCCATCCTAACCGGTGTGCCCACTTCATTCCTGATGATGGTTATTTCATGACCGAAACGTTGAAATATAGTATTTTTCTGGTGAAAAGCAGTTATTTGAGTGTGAGCCAGTGTTGCTCACAACCAATTTTTTACTTCATGACTTTGTTGTAGTGTGGCGATGACAGCAGAATTTGTTCTCTTTATAGCTATTATAAAATTGTTGTCTCCGCGTCGATTATTTAAATATTACAATTAATCAAATATTTTGTCCACTGATTGAGGATACCAGACTGTACATGCATATCTGCGCACACACTGTTGGAGTGTTGCTCTAACCAAACTAAGGCAGAAGGAAGAAACAGCACTGCTCACTGTTGTCCGGAAAATATCCGGAGTTGGAGCACTGCAATACATGTAAAAGCAGACTACCGTATTATCTCTAATATAAGCACGGTCCTTTATTTTTTCAATGTACCTCCGGCTCCGCCCCGTGCTATTAATGGAGACTGTTCCATTATTATTTCAACCTCATTTCAGAGGCATGTTGCCATGCCAAATTCATGTATGACACGCACATTTCAGGGTTTTTTTCGCCGGTACAGATAATGAATTTACACAGTGTGCTTATAATGGAGACTGAGCACTTTATTTTTTGAATGCAGCCCCAAAGTGTTCTATTATTGGAGACGTGCTATTATTGGAGACTGTGCTTATATTAGAGATAATACGGTAGATGATTGAGAGTTGATCTCGGCCAAACAACTAATACTTCTTATAGGGATTCAGAGAAAAACAGCTGGCACTTCTTAGCCCCTCATCCCACGCACACACACGCACGCACACATGTACATGTACATGTAGGTCTGCAATGCAACCCAACTGCCATTAGTAATCATACAGTGTAGTAGTACAGTGTATTGTTAGATTGACAGTACAAGTAGTACACTAGTAGTAGTGATCATAGTAATCCAACACTACACTACACTACACTACACTACACTACACTACACTACACTACACTACACTACACTACACTACATAATTACCTTACCTGTCCCCGGGGAAAATTGCAATTCCGCGGCCGCGTTTTTTTCCGCGTTTTTTTCGATTTTTTAAAAGACCGCATTTTCCGCGATTTTCCCGCGTTTTTTGAACTTTTTTGTTGCACTACACGTACACACAGTGCACTGTTCGGTCAGGAACGTCTCATCGTGGCGGCTTTTTACTCAAAAATGACGAGTGCTTACACCCGAGACATGTTACACAGGAAGAATATCAGTAAGAGTGGAGAGGTGGCAAACAGCATCACGGCTGCAACAGCACCGGCCAAAATGTGAATAGTACGGTAGAAGACACCCTGGTCCATGGGGAACGTGGTACCCAGTTCGGCGTCGTAACGAAAGCAGCCGTAGCAGCACGCGTCCCAGCAGCTGTACCGATCCACCTGTATACAGCAGCAGTCCACCGCGTCCTGCACGTTGTTGCTATGCCAACAGCGAGCGCAGGCGCTCGAGGATTCACAGCAGCACACGTGCGTGTACGTGCAGTCCAGGCACTCAGCACAGCATTCACCGCAGGCAGAGGCACAGCGCTTGCTGCCGCTCCGCTGCTGCTGGTGTGTCAACGGTGAGTGGGATGCCGCGGAGGCGGCCGTCAGCCGACTATCCCCGTGTTGAAGCGGAGGCGGTGGTGCCACACCCCCTAGACCGGGAGCGTGCCGATTATCTGATGGATTGTACGCCGCTGGAAGATGCCGTCCGGTTGCTGCTGTTGGTGCTGTTGTTACAGGCGGTGGCGGCGTTGATGGCCGACAGTCCGGCATCTCCATGGACAATGCCTCGTTGTAGCTCGGTGGCGGCTCTTCGCTTACTGTTCAGATCAAAGAGATGGGAAATGATGCATGGATGCATGGACAGGCATTTGAGCAGACGAGTGCACGGACGCTCACATATGCACGCACACACAAATGTACAACCACACACGCACACACACTCTCACACACACACACACACACACACACAGACACACACACATCCCAGCCAGCTCGCATTAAAAATACACACAAGCACGCACACACACACGAGCACGAGCACGCACACACACACACACACACACACACACACAAACAAATTTAAAACTTCAACACATAGGATCCAGTTGTTGAGGTACGGAGAGTCAGGGCCAGGGGAGTGATAGGCTAAAGAACGGGATGGGTTAGTGGTCACTGCAAAAACTAGAGTCATCAGGAAGCGTAGGTGAGTGTTCATGTCCAAGGGAACTCAGCGGCGCCGGATACACTACGGTCACTACGGTAATGACCGTACCATTCTTTGCCCCGGTAACCGTAAAACAAAAAAAAGCACCGATTCGAGCTCCAGATTTGGAAAAAAAATCAGCGGAGCGACCCGCACGCAACAAGTAAATTGTGCCTCAGATGGCGGACCGTGCCACTCCAAATTACCTTCCGACGCCCCTGCCCCTGCCTGCAACTGATAACGAGAGGCCGGAGTTGCTGGAAACAGAAGTAACCAGCACTATTATTAATAATATTGCGTACAAGTACTGAAATTTCACAAATTTGCGGTGTACTTTTATTTCCGGCACTTTCGGTGCATCTGTTTCATACCTACAATTTCAATACACCAAACAAACACTAACACACATAATCCAATAGGGAACTGCTTCTCTGTACCGAAAATTTCTGTTCACCTAACCTGGCCTTTTGCCCTCATACCGAAAAGATCGAGCACCTACAATTTCTGAGTTCTTGTGTGGTTTGAGATGGGGAGGTGGGATGGATTACAAACTGAAAGCTGATAAACAGGCGGTGTGATCAAACAATGAACTACCCGAAACCAGAAAGAAGAACAGTTTGCCACCACCGTGCACGGAGACAGCTGATTTGAACAACTACTGTTCCATGTGTACCAGCTCGGCTAAACCGTGCTACAAAAGCCATGTTTTGACTTGCACAGCGACCATGGACTTGCTATGCAGTGTCGTTATTCAGATGCAGTATCGGGCCATATATGAACTAGGAGTACAGAATCTGTAAGCTAGGAGTACAAATCTGTAAGCTAGGAGTACAAATCTGTAAGCCAGGAGTACAACAGCAGACGGCTCCGATTTTGAAAGATCTTCAATATAGGGACTGACTGTGCACGTAGCTCCATGAGCTTTACACCGCTGGGATAGAGGGGCACATACACCGCTCTATCAACCTCAGGGGCATCGGACACGGTACGGTCACTACGGTATTGACCGTACCACTTTTTGGCCCCAGGCACCCCATAAATCAGTCCAAAGCACTGATTTGGAATCTAAATTTCGAACATTTTCAGCGGAGCCATCCCTGCCAATAAGTAAACTGTGTATCAGATGGCTGACCGCGCACCGCCTTTTAAGATGGAAAGTTACCTTACCACGCTCCAGAACCTGGTATAGCCATGGATAACAATCACCCCCAAAGGTGTACGTATTTCACAGAATTCCAAACCCCTACTAAGGTTAACAGGACTCACTTCCGGTGCTTTGCAGACACTTTGAATTGAGTGCTGCAAGTAAAGAAATCATGTTTACTTCATCTGATCTGTGCATGTTACGGGCACTTCGGTCTACCGGGCACCCTTTGAGCAAATTTCAGTGGAAATATTACTACGTCTGTCACTTGGATGCAGTGAATGGGATTTTCGGTCTTTGACCACTTTGCTGGTGGGCTGATCTACTCCCCCCCCCCCCCCCCCATCGTTTTAGGAGCTGCATATGCACCTTAGATCTTTGCAGGATGGCGCCGCTGCTATGGATGCTGAAAACTCAGTCTAACCGAGTTTCACGCAACCGTGAATCTTTTTTGTTGTTGTTTTTTTGTCACTTTTGTGGAAATAGTGACGCCACATGCCATATCTATGGCTTTTTCCCCATCAAAATGTGTTTGATTCGGAGTTACGGACATTTCAAATTTACGGGCAGTGCCAGGTCCCGCACCACCCGGATAAACAAGGTATGAGTGTATCTGTGATCTGTGTTGATTGCATGTCCTGTGAGATTGAGACGAACAAACAAAAATAAATAAACAAACCATCTGATCCTCAGACCACTACAGTACTGTCGGTCGCCGAAAAACTGGCGGGTCAGCCTCCTAGCCTAGACCGTTGTTATTTTCACGTACTAGTCCATGGGCAGTTGAGTCACTGAGTATACATTGGTATGCTGTGCTTGGTGAAATCCCAGCCGGGTCGTTCTTTACCGCCCAACACTACTGTCACATTGCACATTTTCTGTAATCTTTTGTTTTCGTGGAGCGCTTGGGTTGCAATGAAGCCGAGACCCCACGGCCGGTCAAGCTGCCCCTGCCTCTCCCCCACTGCTGCCATTCCATATGTCTCATCGCTGCCTTGCTGCTTTGTGTCGTCAAATGTGTGTGTGTTTTTTTTTGTAAAAATACACCAGTGGGATTGTGACTGAACAACTCACTGATATCGTTCACGACCGTTGTTGGCGGCCGTGCCTGAGCCGGAGATGCCTGTACACCGGGTAACGGGGTTGTCATTGGCGACGCTGGCAGGGAAATGGCCGCCACCGTCGAGCGATGCACAACGCGTCTCGGGATGCCCGGTGACGGAGTATGAACGATGAAGTTTGGCGGCGACTGTGAATTGCCAAGCCGCTGCTCATTGTACCTAATCAGTTCGGCCAGTGAGAGGAAATCCACGCCCTGCATTGCGGTACGGTACAGCATAAAGTCATAGACATGCTACTGTAAGACCAGTAATGTTAACGGACATTTAATTCTAACGATTTAACGAATTTAAACAATTCGTTAACATTTGAAGTCGTTATGTACAAAACTATATGTATGTGTACAGTTATTTGCCGGTTTTGAGACAGAATTCGTTAGAATTTCACCTCGCTAACCCACAAAAATCTGGAGATCGTTAACTTCAATTGACGTTAAAATATCTGGTCTCACAGTGGTACTATGAACCCAAGAAGCGTGCTCCAGGAGGTACCAAAGTATCTAATGTATTGAGTATAAACCGCCCTGGGGTGTAAGCCGCACACAGATTTGCTGTCACGAAATACAGACATCGACGCTGTACTTCACGGTTAATTTGGCAATCGTCGTATAAACCGAAACGGCCTTTTGTGGGTGGAGTACGAGTGTTACAAGTGCAGCTTATAATAATAATAATAAAACAGGTCGCGTAATGAAGCAGCATAACGATAGATGCGCGAAGCCATGATGCCTGGTCCGCTTCTGTCCTGGGTTCATTACCCCGTGCATTGCAGCCGTGAGCAAAACCAGCTCAGGCTGAGAGTTCTCTCCATGATTGCTTGTCCAAAGCAGCTTATATACTCTGGAAAATACGGCAAATCCAAACAGTGAGAAGCTCTACTGGAACATGATAATATTGAGTTCGCCATTGGCAAAACCCCACAGCATGTAGTGCAGTGTTTATGATGTGCAAGCCTGGCATTGCCTCAGCAAGCAAGTGAGTAGTGAAGATAGCACTCCCTGACAGGAAGCCCCACAGCTCATGCGAGTCAAGGCAGATCATTGGAGGATGTGGCAGCTTGGGACCTGCGTGGGACTGGAATCTCGGAGGCGCACTTTGCTCAAGACCGGAGGGACTAACGTGAGTTTAGTTTTCGGAAGCCACAAAGCCAGCCCCAACCAAGAGTGTTCATCTGTGTCTGCGTCCGTGACTCCCATCGTCAGACGACTTATCTCGACATAAAAATCATTATCTCGCCAAACAGCTATCATTGCCTTTAGCGATGGGCTCTCCAACGGTCCAAAGGTGTGTGTGTGTGTATGTGTGTGTGTGTGTGTGTGTGTGTATGTGTGTGTGTGTGTGTATGTGTGTGTGTGTGTGTGTGTGTGTGTGTGTGTATGTGTGTGTGTGTGTGTGTGTATGTGTGTGTGTGTGTGTGTGTGTGTGTGTGTGTGTCCACCCAGAGTTTGAGGATTTCAGAGGGTGTGGGCAGCGGTTCAATAGACAATTGTGTCATCTTTCCAAGATGCCCTTTGAATCTCTCTCCCCTCTCCCAGGGAGGCTCTGTGACCAATCATGGCAGTGAGCAAGTACAAGTACAAGTGTGTGTGTGTGTATGTGTGTGTGTGTGTGTGTGTGTGTGTGTGTGTGTGTGTGTGTGTGTGTGTGTGTGTGTGTGTGTGTGTGTGTGTGTGCATGTGTGCGTGTGTGTGTCCGTGTGTGTGTGTGTGTTTGTGCATGCATGTGCAGGCATTCGTTTGCCGAGTAACTACACATACCGGTAGCCTCACCTGTCCCTGTAAAAAGAAATTCCCGTTCCGCTCAACAATGAGACTGTGTAGAAGATCATTTTGCAGCGTACTGCAGGACAGAGAAAGACACACAACGTGATACATGCCCCATACCGTACCGTAAGAGCGCCCCACCAGCTTTTCAACGAACACCAGCTATCTGTGCACCTCAGGATAGTAGCTAAATATTAGACCCCAGTAACTGTAACCCTTGGAGCCAGCATGTATTCACGGGTATGGTTTGAAAGGGTACCATATGGAAGTATGCGCTCTGGAAGGGTTTGCGAAATCATGCTATACCGTGCCGATCATAGTACTTGACACCAAAACCTGCGAGCAATACGTCTCCAAATATGTCGTCTACTGAAAAATTAGGTCTCTATGGCATTGACATCAGTGTTTCTTAGCGCTCTGCTGCTGCCAGGAAACCAGAAAGCTAGTTTGTCTTAGCACCCGCGATATACTAGGGGGGGGGGGGGGGGGGAGATAGCCTGAAAGCCACACGGAGGGAGTACGAGCTTCGTATGGCATAAGCCTAAACAATTAACCATCAGTTCCCTCACCGTATAGATATGACATAGGATCCGTCCTGTGTGCTGCGCTTCCTGACCAGAAATGTGCCGTTAAATCGTAGCCGCTGCTCAGCTAGATCACGACTAATGTTACCATGGTACCATCTGAGAATGGGAAAATAGGAACATAGGAAAATAGGAACAATTTATTTGACAATATGAGAGAGAGAGAGAGAGAGAGAGAGAGAGAGAGAGAGAGAGAGAGAGAGAGAGAGAGAGAGAGAGAGAGAGAGAGAGAGAGAGAGAGAGAGAGAGAGAGAGAGAGAGAGAGAGAGAGAGAGAGAGAGAGAGAGAGAGAGAGAGACAAAGAGAGAGACAAAGAGAGAGACAAAGAGAGAGACAAAGAGAGAGACAAAGAGAGAGAGAAAGAAAGAGAGAGAGAGCATGTGGAAGTAAACCAAGAGTACATAACCCCCAAGAGTGTGCAACTGCCTGCACAACCTATACAGTGCTGCGACGGCAGAACTTCACATCACGTGACATGGTTCAAAGGTTATGCTGGCAAACAGTGCAAAGTGACCACAAGGAGAGTTGAACCCAAAGCAGGGTTGCGTACAACCCTGTATCTATCATGCACAGGGTGCAAATAATGCGTACATGTTTGTCACGTGATGTGAAGTTCTGCCGTCGCAGACCCCATAGCTGGAGGGGCACACTCTGGGGGGAGGGGGTAATGTACTCTTGGTTATACCGAATTCAATGGTAAATAGGCCGAAAGGTGCTGCTTCTCCTCCTATACTATCAAGTATGTTGCACCATTCAAGCAGCAGCCGAGGGAGTTAGAGGAAGAGGGTAGAGAGTGGTAGAGCAACGCCGATGACTCTCAACGGCAAGAACACTACCAGGCGGACATCCAACCACAACGCGGCGACCGGAGTCAATGCCCAACGAGCCTCGAAAATGTCGGCAAGCATGCCTACGGTAATGTGTGTTCAAAACTGTAAATACCATGGAGATGCCTAACAGCCGCAGTGTAACACCCGGCTATGTGACGAACACAAAAGGGAAGCGTGTACGAGCGCATATGGAAGCAGGAGCTCTAGGCGCGTGCATACGGGGTGCAGGAGTTGCACCATAATTATACGGAAGTATGCCATATACATCAATAACACCACGGTGCGATGACAAGTGAGTGTAAGGTGTGAATGCCCCGGGAGTCTATCATATTACTTGTCTCACTGCCAATACCATCCAGTATTCTTACATGATCCACACAGCCGTATATTATGAGGAAAACGTATTCCTGTAGCTATGCAGAAGATCAGAGATCTTACTCATAGAAGCGCCTGGCGCTAGCCAGGGTCCACAGCGCTTTATTTTGTATGTTTGTGTGTGTATACGTGTGGTCCGTCATCGCGTGACCCCATGAGCGAGTTCAGCGAACAGATCACGATGATGAACAAGCACAGCGAAGGGTCCTGAACTAGCTCTCTTGTTTGCCTATACACTCGTATCTCTCTAACCCGGATCTCCAAGACTTAGTTACGGGCACCTCAGTCTACGGGACACCCTGGGGGTGAGTCTTAATGGAAATATTACTACTCGTTTGCCAATTTCGTGCACATAGAGACGTCACGATCTCTGGCCCTTCCCTATCAGAATGTATGAGATTCGGAGTTACGGACATTTCAAAGTTACTGGCACTGCCCGTTCCCGGGTCGCCCGGATAAGCGACGGTATGAGTATATCTACAACAACTGTAACTTGGAGGTCGTGTTGCTGGTATCAGTGACGTTTGGCCTGAGAGCGCATGTAATGTAGAGTAAAAACCTGTAACTAAAGACCACCTTGACTAGAGACCAGCCTGGTACTACAGTAAAACCTGCAACTAAAGGCCACCGTGACTAGCGACCGGCCTGGTACTACAGACCACTTCACCAGGCACGGACGGTCTCACGTTCATAAATTAATAATATTATGGTTGAGTGGTGCAAACCTCTAACTAAGGACCACCTGCCACTAAAGACCGCTTTCTCTGGCCCCACAGGGTGGTCGTTAGTTACAGGTTTTACTGTAGCTGGCACTGAACGTAATTCAAATTTTTAAATCTTGCCCAGTCCATAATTATTATTATGTGTGACGACAATTACAATGCATGCCATGATGAACCATTTGAAAATGCACAGCATGCCTAGATAACATCACTGGCATTGTACTCACTCGTAAAGAGAGAGTGGATCGGTTGTCGTGCCATTTGCCATGTCTGAATACCGCGCAGTGCGACAGCTAGCAATCCAGGTACGGCGGGTTTACGTGCAGCGCGTTCCCTTGCCAGCCAGTCAGCCAACAACAAGTGCACGTCCCCGCAACTCAAGTATCTGCACTGGGCCACTCCGAATCGCCACATGCACTTCACCGCCTCACGGTCGGCTCCTGGGCATGTCTGTGCGCGCCTGATTACGGAGCGTCTGGGGCTCTGCAATTGCGCAAGACTAGCTCGTCGCCGCTGAGCGCGATAGCGCCTCAGACAAGAACAAACATTGATCTCAACTCAAATTATCCGGTGTATGTTTCCAAACCACTTTGAGCTCTTTGATACTTCGGACAAGCTCTCTGGTTGCTACTTCAGACAGATAGAGCAGAGGATTTTGGCTGGGGAAAGAAACCACCACTTGGTCTTCCACCGTTTGCATCAGTGGCCAGTTGGGACCTAGCGCAGCAACCGGATCATTTTCAGCTGCAGGATTTCTTGAACACGAAACATCACATCAATTTATTCAATAACATTATTGGATTACTGCAACGCTGCCCGGCCGGCCGGCCTATCAATCATAATCCTAGCCTAGGCCATGCACTGATGCAGGCATTGGGCTACTCGTAGAAGTACTACAGATACAATCATGTATTGTTGAGGGAGTGACATCCACACGGCCGGGCCGACAGGAGGAGTGCCTGGGTACCGGGTGAGACTGACTCAGAGACAGTGAGAGTGGCGAGTGAACGCCGACTTTTGTAGTGACACTGACAGTTGGGCACCATATCCGTAGATCCACGTACAAGTAAAATGTCTGGGCATGGGATCCTCTGCGATCTTAATCCGCGTGCCAAACCAAGCAGCAAGCTGGTCAGGTAGAGCGGCTGCATGCATATCATAATGCAGCCCAGACCAAGGCAGCGGCCAGGCGCAAACTACTGCATGACTGAAACGTGCAAAACCGCACGAAAAACTACTCCATCTCCCGCATTTCCGTGCAGAAGCAGCGGGGGTTGTTGACATCTGTCCGGAATCAGCCAAAAATATCCTCAGTCAGCCAGAACTGTTACTTTGGCAGAAGGCCGAAGCATACACGGACACGCGTGATATGCGCAGATCATACCGGCCGGGTCGGTACACATTATTATTTTTACAGTACGAACTGTTAGAGTTACGCCCAGACAGTGCAGATAAAGGCAACAGCCATTAATTTTTAGATCCACCGTGAGTAATAGGAATATTACAATTAATAAAATATTTTGTCCACTGATTGAGGATACCAGACTGTACATGCATATCTGCGCACACACTGTTGGAGTGTTGCTCTAACCCGCGGCAAACTAAGGCAGAAGGAAGAAACAGCACCTGCTCACTGTTGTCCGGAAAATATCCTAAGTATAGTTGGAGCACTGCAATACATGCAAAAGCAGACTAGCTGATTGAGAGTTGATATCGGCCAAACAACTTCTTATAGGGATTCAGAGAAAAACAGCTGGCACTGCTTATTTACTTTAGCCCCTCATCCTGCGCACGCACGCACGCACACACACACACGCACGCACACATACATGTACAATCGTCATGTAGGTCTGCAATGCAACCCAACTCCCAAGTAATCATACAGTGTACATTAGTACTATTGTTAGATTGACAGTACTAGTACAGTAGTAGTGATAGTAATCCAACACTACACTACACTACACTAGTCACTATAGCAACAGGAGATGTAGCACCCACCAAAGACACACACCAAAGCCTAGCCAGCCGCTCACCACCGTTTATTGACACATGAGAAGTGACATCCTATATTGCCTCATTCTGGCCAGTACGCTCATATACATGTACATGTAGGTATGTACAAAGTATGTACAGTCAACTTCGCTAATAACGACTGCGGATATAACGACAATTCACGAATAACGACAGAATTTCCATGCTCAGAGCAAAGTCCCATCCCACTGTAATACATAATGAGACTTCGGGTACAACGGCACTTCGCGAATAGGGACACCTTTCTGATGCCCCGCTGAATGTCGTTATACGCAAAGTTGACGGTATGTACGTTATAACTACAGTGCTGGCAACTGAAATCCTACCCCCTTGGCGGCGCGCCGCGCCACCAAGGGGGTCGGATTTCAGTTGCCAGCACTGTATGGGATATCTCACAGGGAGTACAGTAAAAGCGTCCCAAAATCCGGGCGTGAATATCTTTACATTTCGAAACGTAAAGATATTCACGCCAGAGAGAATGTTTCTGGAGTTGGGGAAGTGAAGAGAAGGGAGTTCTACAAGTACAAGTATAAGGAGCTGCGTTGGATTTAACAGACAATAAGAAAATTGATATCGAGTAAGCTAAAGTTCTCTGTAAGATGGTGTGGGAACTCATGTCAACTCAATGTCAATAGAAATTAACGATTGCATCAATCTGGAGAAAAGGCCATACGCAAAGTTGTAACCATCAAGTTCATCATGCTAATAATAATTTTGATCGATGATACCAATCGGGAGTCTGCGATGTCTATGGCTGGCTGCGCAATGTCATCATCATTGTATTGAGAATGTCATACAGTCAGACCTCGCTTAATCGCACACACCCATTTTCCACAAAAAAATATCTGGACAGGCGAGCTAGGGAACCGGATAATTAAACACACATCCTATATGTATGTGTGTATGTATGACATTGTGCTGTAAATCAGTAACCAACGATTTTCTTCCGGATGGCGAGGGATCCGGATAAAAGAGGATCGGAAAAGCGAGGTTTGACTGTACGCCTGACAATCGCATACAGTTACCGCATGAACTGACTCAGAGTTGCCACAACCTAGCCTTGTGTCTTGTCGATCTGTGTATCATGCTCTGACAATCACATACCGTATACCGTCAGCCTTACTCGGAAGTGCACGTACTTGCAGTACAGCCCTGGACTGGCCCACTCGAAGTTACACGGGCCACTCTACGGAATGTCTAACTCGCCCTCGCAGCCTTCGCAGCACGCACGCAGAGAAAGACGAGAACCAGCACGGGAGACACGGACAGCAGGATCAGGGCGGCGACGATATATGACAGGACATGAATAACCTTGTAGAAATATCCCTGATGGTGCATGGGCCATGTGGTTGCCAACTCGGAGTCGTACTCAAAGCAGCAATTACATGCCAAGTCCCAACAATTACTACCATCGCCTTCCTGTATACAGCAACAATCAACGACCTTCTGTACCATATCGTCATGCCAACAGCGCGCGCAGACGCTCGAGGCTTCGCAGCAGCACAGGTTGCCATAGGTACATTCCATGCATTGAGTGCAGCATACACCGCAGGCAGGGGCACAGCGCTTGCCATCGCTCTGCTGTGCCGTGGCATGGGACGGTGATGGTGATGGTTGTGACGGTGGTGTGGGTGTGCAGTTCGGAGCTCCGCTGACTGCCACTGACTCAACATCTCTGCTTGCCGTCATGCAATGGCCCACCGGTGAGTGTCGTCCCAGGGCTGCTGCCGCCGCCGCAGGTGAACTGCCATCCGGAAGCTCTAGTTGAAGGGTGTCGTAATTCGGCGGTGACTCATTGCAAGCTGTGCTCAAGAGCAGGACACGGACACAAGCAATCACACACGGCATGCACCCACACATACATGTACGGCACAGCATCCACACATACGCCACAGCACCCACACATACGCCACAGCATGCATGCATCCACACACAGCCACGCACATCCACGCATGGACACAAACGAGCAAGAACCAGTTGGGTCACAAGAAATCGAACGGCCCTGTTTTATTTCCCAGGATACCATTACACAGTGTTACGCTAAATCCCATGCAAGGCTAACAAAGGTGGTGTTGTGACCTACAATCAAGCGTGGCGTATCACTGAAGCGAACGTACTGAAGGTCTCCGATGAGATCTGAAGATGGGGTTGTACTTGTAACATACAATTGGATGTTACGTTGAATCTGGGAAAAAATCTGATACTACTGCGGAGGTCACTGGTCATTAGGGCACCTACCCAACCTACCCACCTCAACTCAAACGTTCCAAATACGGTCTCTTTGCTGCATATATTTTTCTAGAAGAAAAGAGGACCAAAGAGCTACATTTTACGCTATAATGTCCACTAACACCACCAGCTACTTTACAGTCAGCTCATGCGATAACATTGCATGACACTGACCAACGGTACTGACGTTCTACACCTAACTGGCAATCAGCTCTAGCACATCTTGGATGCGCACTCCAACAGCCTTTGGTCCTCTTTTCTTCGGCTTATAAATTCATACTTGGCTCTCCATCCGGGTCTAACTATACGTTTTTTTCTGTTTCCATCCTGTTGATGGGCCATGTACAAATATTTGGTGACCAGTTGATGACGTATACAGCAGCCGAGAGACTGTGTTTTGAGTGTTTGTGCTGATGTACCCTAGTGAGTAATGTGCAACTGGCTGCAGTGGTGTCTGCGAGCGCTTAGAAGTGGCCACTGATCGGCTAAGTGCATGCCGAGAACACCATCGGTTTGACCGATGGTGTTCTCGGCATGTACTTAGCCGATCAGTGGCCACTTCTAAGCGCTCGCAGACTCCATTGCAGGCGTGACAGTAGCAAGAGACCAGTAGTCCTGACCTTGCCGATGTCCCAGTCTTTGGTGATTGTACTTGATAAGACCCTGCACAGACGTGAAGTCAACATTCTGCAAGGTATTGAAGAGATGATGACAACATAAAACAGAAGTTAATAGTGACGTTCTGCCATACGCGAAACACAGAGAAATCGCGTAGAGAGCAGGTGTCTGGGTAAGAGTCTACGACTTCGCGTGTTTTGGGTCCAGATTTCCACGTGGAGATGACGTTCTCTATGTTGTCGCACATGCAAAGAAAATGCGTACGGATCAGCTGGGTATCATTCAAATGCAGTCGATAGTCACTACTAGAGACTCATTTGTATGGGGAGAAGTCGGGGGTTCGCCCTGTACGTTGTATTTAGCATAGCAAGGACATTTTGGAAAACAGAAAAATGGGGTACGGGTTTACGAGGTAACTGTATCTCGTGCCCGCCCCTACTATTTTGACCTCGCTAGAACCCTGCACATGCACACACGCACGCACACACGCACACACGCACGCACACACACGCACGCACACACACACACACACACACACACATATACACACACACGCACGCACACACACACACAAAGTTTACCTGGCCATGCAGGTAATACGAACCATGTCGCTCGAATATTTGACTGTGAAGGACATCATTGTAGTAGGTTCTGGAGGACAAGAGAAACCAACGACTCCATTACAAATCAGCGCGCACGAACTATTCTCGAAGTATCGCACTCACCAGGGCCGGAGAATGGTTTTGGAGTGATCAGGCCGACCTTTGAGGAGGTCGGTGGGGAGCTTCCCCGGGAGAATTTTGAAAATTTACATGAAATAGAGCGGATTTGGGCATCTCGTGAGGCTCCGGAAAATGCAGGAAATCATAGTCAAAGAACAAAAGCACAACTTTTTTATATCCATATCACAAGTCACACAGTATGGGTGATGGTAGCATCGAAGAGATTGAACACTGCAAGGAATAGGTAAAAAAAACTATTGATAAAGACTTTAATAACTGCCGGTATGACCTCGTGTCGACTTCTCCGTGTTTGCATGATCGACTCCTTAACAGGGCCTCTCAGTCTCTGGCACAGCCTGGTGTACATGTACATGCATGCAGAGTGTACGTGTGCGCACACTCTGCGCGGGCTTCGGCTTCTCAAACGAACGATTATTTTTCGGCTTCCTCGATCTTTTCTAATTGTCCGCAAACTCCAACGCAGCCACTTACACATTAAGGAAACTTCACTCCTCAACTACAGGCCCGAACATTTGGAGTAATGTAAATCTTGACTAGTTTGAGGGAAAGACACAAACGGGAAAAGTCTGAAGAAGAAAAATTGACTGTCACCACCAGGACTCAAACCAGGGACCCTCTAAATCTTAATTTAAATTTGAATCGCAGTGAAGAGATCGTTTTTGGAGTTGAGAACTGAAGTTTCCTAAGTGTTCCTCGATCTCAAAAGACACGCCTTCTGAACATGAATCCACGATGGCCTAATGTAACGTCTAAAACCAACGAATGCAGCTAAGGAAAGCCTGGAAAGCACCCCACGATTGCATTAAACAGCCCGTTTTGCCGTGCGCTAATAAGTGACAATATTGATGACGCGGACCAAGTAACAGGGAGTAGTCCACAAGCCACACAAACTAGCTTCATGCTATAGAGGAAATGCTCGCCTACATGCGTCCACCCTTGGCACTGTACTCACCGTTTCGATATGACGTAGGATCCATTTCTACTGCATTTCCTGACCAGGAACGAGTTCACGGTCAGCCTTCGGGCAGCTTCATCTCGAGTTATAATACCATGATACCACCTATGGTAATACAGCAATTTCAAGAGATCAATATGTTGTTTCCATGGTTACTGGACACACAGGTTTTTTTATTTTTTTTTATTTCACCGTCCAATGGCAAAAGCCAATACAAAGGAAGGGGCATTAGCCAGCCCTGGCAGGTTCAATTGGCATGCCCGTCTGTGACGTCACAATTCAATGGCATTCACGTACAGTAAAACCTGTAACTAAAGACCACCGTGACTAGCGACCGGCCTGGTACTACAGTAAAACCTGTAACTAAAGACCACCGTGACTAGCGACCAGCCTGGTACTACAGTAAAACCTGTAACTAAAGACCACCGTGACTAGCGACCAGCCTGGTACTACAGACCACTTCGCCAGGCACGGACGGTCTCACATTCATTATGGTTGTGCAGTGCAAACCTCTAACTAAGGACCACCTGCCACTAAAGATCGCTTTCTCTGGCCCCAATGGGCGGTCGTTAGTCACAGGTTTCACCGTACATCGAAGTGCATAAGCGGTCGTCACAAATGGTGTTTTTCATCCCTGAATTGAGCATCGTTCATTTCATACTCGGAACCCCCCCCCTGAAATGAATGCAATTTTCTATTGCTATGTTGGATGACGCAAATCCTATGCATGTGAATATGCATGTACATTGTCTGTCGACTTCCAATTTTGGCCCACATCTCTAGCCAAGGGGGGGGGGGGGTAGAGGGGTGCAGAGCCCCCTACCCTGCTGGCACCTGTAGTAGACGGACTTCCTCCTACACACACCACTCATGATGTATTGCACTGTTCATTGCTGGCACCGGCATCAGGTCTCTTGTTACCTAAAGTATTATCTGTATTCTTCCTTCCACACAATCATTGAGCACTTATACGGCCAGTGATGCGTAACTGCCATTGTTCTTGGCTGCCATTATTCATAGTTCGCTAGCTCGGAGCTGTAACTAGACTTCAATCTCTTATATGGATCCGTCTTTCAGTTTCCCAGTTCAGTTGTTGTTGTTTAGTCTTCCCTTCCGTTTCAGTCTTGTTTTCTGTCTAGCTGACTTACTTCTGTGCTACCTAGTCCTCTGAATCACTTCTAAAACCTACTTCTGTAAACTAACTAATTTTGTGAGTTCGGAGAGACTGAACCAGTTTGCCTTGTAACTCAGTCGCTCACTACAGCACCCCCCCCCCCCCCAATCCCACTCTGATAGCGCACCGCCCTGCTCAGATGTTTGTGTTTTTTTCTGTTCACACAGCGAAAATGCGGCCGCTAATCGATCGTTCCACATGCTCTGTGCATACGAATGTTGCTTTTTTTGTGACAAGGTCAATAAGTGGGACATGGAACAAATGGGCACACTGCCTGTCCCCCACCCACCCCCTACAATTTTTCCTGCTTAGAACCCTGCTACTATGCATATGTGTTCTCCTTGCAGGCACAATGATTCAATGGCATAAAGACAGTGCCTATACCAATAGTTACTGTACCCCCGGCAAGTGGCTATAACGGTATAATCGTGCTTAGAGAAACCTGAGCCACGTGCCTAAAGCAGTGCCAAGGCTCTTGCCGCCCCTGCAGCCTTCAGTTGGGTGTTTTCGACTGTGCATGATGTCCCGGTAATTGAAATGTAATCGCGGCGCTATTTTCACGGGCGGGCGGATTTTGGCTACTGACTATGGTAGTATGCTTCTCCTTTACTAGAAGGATCTCCCTGGGGTTCTTAGCTCTCTTGAAGTACAGTCCCGCCGGTCGCCGAAGAACTAGGCGGGGGGGGGGGGGGGGGGTCAGCCTCCTAGACTAGACCGTTCTTGTTTTCATGTATTACAGTCTATGCACCGTTGAGTCACCGTGTATACATTGGTATGCTGTGCTATGTGCAATCCCAGTGTCTGCTCCAGAGCCGGGTCAGCGACCCGGTTGGAGGGTACTTGGACCCGTTTGGAAGGAAAAAGAACACCGAGTCACCTGTGACCCTGTTGGGAATACACACCACTGGGAGTCCTATTATGTACAGCAGGGAGTACTATTATGTACAGCAGGGAGTACTATTATGTACAGCTCCCTGATGTACATGTCCACATGCAGTAGCCGCACTTAACACGTTCCCGGCTCTGACCCGGATGCAAGGGTGTTGCCAGGTACACGGGTATCCACCCAGTTGGTTTGAAATCCTGGAGCAGACACTGAAATCCTGGAGCAGACACTGAAATCCTGGAGTACACTTGCATGTGACTTTGTGTGCGTGTGGTGCAAGCTCCAATATCTGCACCCACGGCCAGATATCGCCGGCCAGTGACTGCCCTATTGGATGCTCGAACAAAGGGCTCACACGTGCCGCAACGCTTTCTCACAGTCACTCTCCTAACCGACCTGTTCTGCCAGGAGTCTGCATTGTCGTGTTTCATGCTGTGTGTGCGTGCGTGCACTGTTGCGTAAGAGCCTGGAGCAGTGTTACGCACACGGCATGCCTGCATGTCCCTTGCATGCAGGGCAGTACAGGCAACGTTCTACAACGTAAAACCAGCAGGCACGGTTAGCATTCGAACTGTTCACGCTACCAAACTTCGACCGTCGGCCTGTACCGTTTTGTTGTGTGTTTGCAAGACATGGTTAGCAGTTCAGTTTCTGCCACAACGATCGACTTGTGACGTCACCCTAGTTGGAATTGTACCGTTTCGTTTCTCCCGGTAAACAGAGCATTCTATCGTCGAAACGATACCAAACCGACGGTATTTTAGGTGCTGGGAACGAGCACCGTTGGATTTAGCGTAAATGGTAAAATGCTAACCATGTCTGTTGTAGAGCAGTACTCACCGGTATCTGAAGAGGAGTTGATCCGTTATCGTGTCATGATTCGCCATCACTACAATCATGTACGTCCGACCACCATGCAGAAACCGTAAGTGGGCAGCAGTGCAGGCACCGTCAGCAAGCTATCCGTAGCCAGCACACGTAGCTATGAGTAAAGTAGTTACGCTCACCGATCTCAGCCGAGAAACCGTCGCCGATCTACCCAAGCTGAGTCGTCGCGTTGCATGCAATCCGATCCGTGATGAACAAACCAAGATTGGTGTCCGAGACGCTAATAAGATCCCTAGTCGCACACCGTTATCCGTACTGACTAGCTATCAGCAAATGACTATTTGTACGACAAATAGCGAGTACGAGTACTGCATGCCTTGTATTTACATAATCTTGTAGGTGCAAGCGACGAACATAATATCCTCCCCAGAATCATGAGACCACTTCGCCGCAAAGAGCAAAAGAAAATCGGATGCAGGAAATAATTATGTACTCGGGGTGAGCAGTCCAGGACCAAGTGGCAAGTGCTGTGCCGCGTGCATTCAGAGGTCTTGCCGAATGAATGAGGCGCGCGCGGCTAGCTCTGCCCTTCCCTTGTCCATGATGAAGTCATTGAAGACGATAGACTTCGCATCACAAGCTAATGTATTTAGATAGCTCATGAATTTCATTGATGCCAAACTGATCAAAGACGGCATGTTTGTCTGAGAGTGAGATCCAAACAAATGCCTTTTCCGTACAAGGCCATCTGGCACGGAAGGCCTCGGGCTCGGGCTTAGCCCATGTCGACTCAGTGTAGGTCTACATGTGTCTGGCAAATGACGCAAGTGCAATCTCGGAAACAGAACAGGGGGAAAACACGACAGATCCCCACACGTACTAACAGTTGCACTGCGCAACAGACAAAAGCACTAACGCCGCAGTAACGGTGGTGTCTTCATGACTGATCCACAGCCGCGGGCACAGGACCAGGCATAACCACGAACTAGCTAACTCGCGACCTTCGGATTATGGAAACCATACTATACATAGTCATAGACTATAGACTCAGGCATGGTCATAGACATGATAGAGGCACACACTTGCTTGTGACTTGATCTGCCGAGACCAGGGTTTTCACCACTAGTCACTCCCTGGTTGAGACTCATGTCATGAAGTCATGATAGTCGTCGTCTTCGTCGTCGACACTGCCGTCGTCATCGTCGTTGTCGTCATCGTCATCATCGTCGTTGTCGTCATCGTCGTTTTACCTTTTCTCAGCCAGTTCACAGTGACCTGGCCTGTGACACACACAGTACAGGAAGGTGAGAGTTTTGAACTGAAGAAAATATTTAATGGTCCCTGCTGGGATACTGGGCCGAGCTGGGGTAGGCTATGGTGAGAGGTTTAGGCCCCGGTCACACATGCACTTTTTTTTAGCAATACACAATCATGTATGACTGATTTTGAGTGAAAACAAGACTATTTTGTCCATGTTTGTTGTAGGCATCATACGAAGAAGAGTAGGACTGTTTTCTTGGCAAGGAGTAGTGAGGTTTTGTGTGAAATTTTAATTTTCGGCAATCACATTTCGTTAATTTCTTACTTTTTAAAAACAGTAGAAAAAAGATAAGGCACCCATTTTGATAATCCAGGGGATGGCCCACGCCTGGTACTGCCACTGCATTAAAATCATACGTAATGACTGATAAAATGCTACACCTGTGAAGTAAAAGAAAAAGGCCCAACCCTGCCCTGCCAGCTATTTGGGCTTACGGGGGGTCGCCATGGCAAATAATAATATTAAAGAACTATTATAGAAAATCTAAGTTTAATAGAGAAATAACACTAAGAGCAACAGCAGTGAAATTTACTAGTGTGAATTTTAACAATCAAAGCGAGAAATGAACAAAGGAGAAAGGAAGGAAAGACAACGTGATAACACATAACAGCAGTACTAAAGACTATAAAATTAATGACGGGAAGTGCCAGCTTCGGCAGCAACTAGGAAGGCAGAAGAAGAGACAGGTGCATGTACAGCGAAAACAGAGCGGCTACCACGCAGGCACATGACACTTGCTCTGAGCAACGCAAAGCTAAGGCGGCAGCGGATGAATGACATAACAACCGAATACGGTTCGCTGCTTTTCTCAGCAATGAGAGATGCAATACGCTTGTAAAGAGAGGCAGATTGCTTGCCCATGCCACCGGTTGTCGAGAAGACCAACGGGACAAATGAAGCATGCTCGATCTCCCGCAGCCTCTCTTCATACGATCTCTTCTTCGCTTTCTCATGGCGAACGTAGGTGGCAGAAATGGAGGAGGACTGGTTCAAAGACGCAAAAGGGTTGAAAACCCGGACGTCGAAGAAGGTGCGTTCGAACCGCCCTCCCCACACTCCATTTGCTGCTACGTCCAAGCGAGCCTGGTCGTCGCGGATGGCGGTGCGATAGCGAAGCTGCTCCCCACTCAGGGGCTCCAGATGAGGCTCTACAGATACGTTGGTGGCAACACGCTTCAAGAAACCAGCGATCACATCGCGGATCTCGTTGTGCCTGATGGTAGGGTAACCGCCGGTGGGGCACGAGAGGGCATGGGCCACTGTAAACTGGCTTCCACAAACGCACCCTGATGGCATGCGCTGTGGTTGCCAGTTGTACCTCAGGTGAACTCCATCGCGAAACTCCGCTTTGGAGAGGGCAAATCCATGGCGCTTCAAGGGCCTGCAGGTCAGCCAACTGGAAGAACCCTTCTCCACAGCCAGGTCGATTACACGCTGCTTGGCCTCCGGCAGACTGGAGCGGAGCAGCAGGGCTTGGGCTTTGACAGCATTCCGTGCTGTTATCCTCACCTCCGCCTTGGCAGTACGAACGAGACTGGTTGCAGAGCCGTCAGTCACCCTTCGCGATGCATCATACTGGGATGCGAGATCCATGGGATTGCCCAGCCTGAGCCCTCCGTGACGACATGGAAGCGCAAGAATTGACCTTTGCTCCGAGTTGACAATATGGCTGGTAAGAGCGGGGATGAGCCTCTCCATTAGCAGCTTCTCCACAGGTGTCAGAGCAGCTGCAGCTGTTGGTGTGGTGCGGCAGAGGAAAGACCACTTATTCTGCAGGCCTTGGGTGAGTGCAGCGTATGCAGCTTGTGGTTGCGTTTCCGCATACGAGGACAACTTCTCCACGAGGTTGAGCCATCTTGTTGCCTTCTGCTCAACAAAGCTATCCAGGAATGCAGGCGTACCAATAGCCGAACCCAGGTACCGGCAACCATCGACGCGGATGTCAACTCCAGTGTCGGCGAACATCTCCACTGCTCGATCATAATGCTCCGGTTTAACCAGGAGAACCGACTCGGACGGGTTGAGATGATAGCCGTAGGCAGGACCTTGCTCTGTTAGGCCATGCCACCATGCACGCAAAGGCATCAGCTTGCCACCTGCTCCTGAGTCATCAGCAAACCAGGCTTGCACAGTATTTGCAGTAGAGACTGACTGCAGCAAAGGAAGAACACCGAGAGCATAGAGAGGCATAGCAATTGGGTCCCCCTGCGTGGTACCTTCGGAAGAGAGGATGACTTCTCCACCGACAAAGAGCTGTGCGGGTTGCCTGTAAGTGTTGATGACAACTGGTGACATGGCTGGACAAAGATGTTTGATGTTCTGCAGATATACAGCACGATTCAAGCAATTGAACGCGTTTGAGGCGGGGAGGGTGGCAAGGAGTAGTCGAGCCTACGAACAGTTGAGTGACTTTGTCTTTTGGTCATTATACATGTAAGTTTTTCTGGAGTCAAGATCAGGTGATGGTTACGTCAGTATGAGCAAAAGTGATCGGTTGATTCTCAGGCTGAGGAATCTACTGGATCTGGATCCGACCAGGGAGCCCTGTGTATGTGTATTGTGTAGGGCTCCCTGGATCCGACTAGGCTAGCGACCACAGCCAAAATCAATCCATCGCTTCTCTTCACCACTTCGCGTAGAAAAATGGCGATTGAAAAGTAACTGCATATTTTGGTGAAAAAGGAGGACAAAAATTAATGTTACGAGTTATGACTAACTGTCCACCAACGTAACCAGATCTTATGCAGTCAACGAGTGCGACAAAATGGCACAAAACTGACAAAGGAGTACTGAGACATTCGGCGACCTGACACCTAGCTCCAACACTTCTCCAAGGCGCAAACCAACAACCTTCCAACTTGGAAGGCTCAGGTTCGGAAAGGTCCAAGAGGGAAGGAAAGCGCAACGAAGAAGAGCACGAGCTACGCATCACGGCAACAAAGAATGCCGAAAGTTGCATATTTCTTACTCATTTGACATAATAATTATTATCAAGAGTACATAAACTGTTTATGGACTCTTGCATGATGCTACTCAAAATTCTTTATTTTATTTTATGGGGTTAGTGTACGCACTTTACCAAGAGTCCATACCAAGAGTTATGGACTCTTGACTTTACCCATATCATGGTCATTTCACTCATTTGTCACCCCACGCTGTAATACAGTGGTTCATGCACATAGTACAAGTCAACATTATTCATTAAAGGGGAAGTTAAGGCAAAAATTAAAATTTCACCAGTTGTAGTCTTCGGGGTGCTGAGTCGAATGGTCTTGGTCCGAGAAAGCTGAGACGCTCCATTCCTACTTGAATCCCAATCGAACTCGCGCACTTCCACCGAAACTGGGTGACTGCGCCCTACGAGATGGGGATTTGTAAGCAAAATGTCACTAAAAGCGGCATTTCGTTCTTATAAAAGCACGGATGACCGCGATTGGCCCATATGTTGTAGTCTTTTGGACGCTGAATCGACTGGTTTTGGTCCGAAAAGGCTGCGATGCAGCGTTCCTCCTTTATTCCCAATCGAACATGGTTGAAGAAGTGGTCACGTGCTCCTGGGTGCCGCACTGCCAAAATCACCTGGTCACCACGCCAGCAGGCGACAACTTTCACACCAAGGTTCAACTCGAGTGACAGGACTGCACCCAAAAAAGGTCAAAACAGGCTGTAAGTTGTACCCTGCAGGCACGGTGACCAGGTGACTGGTGTACGCAGGAGCACGTGACCGCTTGTTCAACCATGTTCGATTGGGAATTAGGGGCGAACGCTGCATCGCAGCCTTTTCGGACCAAAACCAGTCGACTCAGCGTCCAAAAGACTACAACATATGGGCCAATCGCGGTCATCCGTGCTTTTATAAGAACGAAATGGCGCTTTTAGTGACATTTTGCATACAAATCCCCATCTAGTAGGGCGCAGTCACCCAGTTTCGGTGGAAGTGCGCGAGTTCGATTGGGATTCAAGTAGGAAGGGAGCGTCTCAGCTTTCTCGGACCAAGAGTCAAGACCATTCGACTCAGCACCCCGAAGACTACAACTGGTGAAATTTTAATTTTTGCCTTAACTTCCCCTTTAAAGGGGCACTCCGGCTTCATTTTCGACGCCGAGTTTTCGATGCCATGCAAGACGAAGGTAGGTGAAAGAGAAGACCCCTCGAACAAGAACGAGTCTCCAGAAGCGATCGAGTCGAGCAGGAAGACGACTTTTGAATTTCGCCGAGCGAGCGCTGATGACGTAATGAGGGATTAGCTTGCCAGTGGAAATGCATCTGCGTACATACATTTCACATACTTTTTGGCCAATTTTCAATCGAAGAGGAGGTTGTTTTCTATGTTCTCGCAACGTCGTGAGCGATCCCGTCTTCTATACCCTTCCAGGTACCCTCAAGGTCCTCCAGAGGAGAATTTATCTCCAGCGAAGCGTTGTTGATCCGCTAAATTCGTCTCGAGACATATTCACCCAGTGCAGTGCTGATAAAATTTAGAATGTTGAATCTGTGATAATTGTCGACGATGGAGAGAGAGGTTGATAGCCGCTGTCGCAGGGAAAGTGAAGCTGCTGGAAGTAACAGCGGGGAGCTTGTTAGCATCACATGTGCATCCAGACTTCAAAGCAGCTTGACGGAATCGGGGAGTACTGACTATTTGTCTCGCCCTCAGTTTAGTGAATTTTATGACCAGAAAATTATTCGATCAGGATCCCTTCTACAAGATGTGTAGTACAGGTGATTTCTGAACTTGACGATATGGAGACCGACCAGTAGACGTACCAACAACGTGTACCTGCAGGAAATTCACCCAAGGCTATTGCTATCCTCTTCAGTGGCTGTTGTTTTTTAGTAAAAATATGTTCACTTCTCTCAACATACTCCTGCATGGCAGCAAGAAGGTGCGCTATGGAATTCAACGCCACAATCTTCGCCCAGCTGTGGATGAAACATGGTCAAGTCATGGCAGTACATATACTTGAAACAGATGAGAAATTGAAGTTCATTTGTGATGGGAAGTTTGACAGCCCCAGTGACCGAGTCAAGCATTGTCTTTTGCCGTGGCACAAATTGCTGAAGAATCCGAGATGGTCTTGGAACTATGCACATGGATACTACCAGAAATAATGGTGGCATGAAACATGGTGGAATGGGACAGCTCACGGAGAATACTGGAATAGCTCAAGCATCTCTAAGTGATTGTAAATCCTGTTCTGGCTGATAGCTTCAGCCTGCTGCGCCCGTCCATGTACAATGATGGGAGCAAGCATTTCTGTTTTCTACATATTTGCCGGCTACTGTACTGTGGTATTACAGTTGCAGGTCCCTTATATAAAAAAACTAGCAGCACCCCCGGCCAGCGTTGCCTGGCCGAATGTGGCATGCGGGTGAAGCAAGTACATGAACAGCACACGTGCTCAGCACGTGGTGGTGGCCAGACCGCTGAAGTCCTGGTGAGGGAGGTTCTTCATCGTTGGAAGGAGAAGGAGGGACGTCTGTTACGCCTTCGGGAGGCTGGTCAGGGTTGTCCATCACCTGGTGGCGGATGAAGCGGCTCAAAAAATTAATAAACTTACGAACAAAAGTGCGATGCGCTCTTCACTGCAGATCAGATGCAGAGTGCAGATCTTTTGTATCCTTTTGTTGCAGATGTTTCTATTTGCAGAGAATGGTTCACGTGGTCCGCAGCGCTTGTGCGGCTGCTAGTGCTAACTTACCTATGGCCTAGGCTAGGTGGCTACATGATTCGCACGCTTCGCGTGCTCAGTGCTTCTGCGCGCGGCTGCTACTGCTACTCGTACTGATCGTGTCTGCTACCTACACTGTTCGCACGCTTCGCGTGCTCAGCACGTGGTGGTGGCTACACGATTCGCACCCTTCGCGTGCTCAGTGCTTCTGTGGCTGCTTCCGCTAGCACACGATTCGCACGCTTCGCGTGCTCAGTGCTTCTGCGGCCGCTAGGTACACAGTGCTACACTGTTCGTACGCTTCGCGTGCTCAGGGCAGCGCTGCTCCGCAGTATGGCCTGAGCGTGACACACACACGTCACAGGTGCCTCTTCTTTATAAGTAAAGATATGTTCAACCCCCTCCCACATACACACATTATAAATATGAACTAACAATTTCACTGTTCGACTCGCAGGCGGCTAGAGAGCAAAGGATTAATTTATACTTCAAAGAAGTAGCAAAGAAAAGGACCAGGGAACTACAAGTAAAAAAATTAGTTACGCTATAATGTCCACGAACAATTTCACTGTATTTGAAATAATTTTGTTTGACAACTCTGAGTACTCTGAAACTTTGGAGCACTGTGGATTATATGTGGATACATTTATGGAAGGAAAAGTGCAGCTGTGCAGCTTACGCACACATAGACGATGTGACTTAGAGTGGGTGTGCGTCAACTGCTTTCACAAAAGCAGGGACAGTGTGTTTGTTGTAGCGGAGGCAACTCTCTAGCGGTGCCACATGGTGGATGTGTTCCAAGTGCAAAACGGCGCCGCAGCAGCAGCCAGCATGTAGCAGGGGCCCGGGGCCAGCGTACACAAACATGTGTGATCATCCAATGAATCACAAAACATGAGAACGGCCACAGATCAAGAAAGCGCGTCACCAAGCCTCCGCTAGCCGCCGCAAAGAGGCAGCGTCGCGAAGAAGTCCTTGACGAATCACGGTCATGGTACCACCATCACCGAGAGATGATTGTCCACTTTGGAACAGCACGGTGGAAATGCCGAGTAGCAAGGCCCAGCAGTGCAGGCGGCGCGACGCGGCCCAGCCCAGATGTGCCGCCCATTGCAGGGCAACTGTCAGCCGAGAAGAGCAGTAACATGAGGGGCGGGCGGAGACGACACGAGCACCTTGTGCAGCAGCAGCAACAACAGCAGAGCTGATCACAAAAGCAGACACCCCTTCTTCTTCTTCCTGGCCGGCTTATCACCCATCTTGATTTTCTACACAGCCACACAGGACAAGTGAGATGAGAGAACAGAATATGACTACACACAGCCGCAAGCAAACAATAAAGCCGACGGTACACGTTAGGATAGGGCGGGAAAGAAACACAGGTTATGATCCGGCCGGGCAGCTGGAAAAAGTGTGATCAGCCGCGGAGGGAAATGAAACGGCCAACTCTCCACCCGAAACACCCCGACATGCCGAATTGATTAAACTTTCAAGAGTGCAAGCAGATCGCTGAGGCTAGAGCTGTAAGAAGAGAACAAAGTGTGGCTGTGCTTACTACAGACACACACGAGACTTGGTAAAAAAAACGTTCCAATTTCCGAGTTTCATGGGAACATGGCTGTGGAGGCAAATTATCAGAGACTACACAATCATGGTTGCACAACATTTGCCCGGATTTTTCTTGGGGCTGGAACGTATAACGTTGTTTTTAAACACGGAGGCTCCACTGCAGCCAATTCATATGAGCCAGAGCACGCCAAAATATGACCACAGATCAGAAATTCGATTTTCAGTTTTTTGTTAAAAAATGATCCAACACACCTAATGTTCACTGTCTGAAAGTTTTGGATTGATCCGAAATGTCTAAGTGTTGCAACAATGGTATTATATGCAGCACTGTTGAAATGGTGAAATTCTATGTACAGCAATGGGATTGTCATTTTTGCACACAATTGATATGCCCCTTGGTTCATCCTTTCCGGGTCAGTTCCTCTGTCCAGGGTCTTATAGCATGAGCTGACAGGTACTCAGCCACATCCAAATTGTCTATAGGCAGCTGAGCTGGGTGTCCGAAATACCTCCTGTTTGGAGCACCACTGGAGAACCGCCAGCGAAAACACGGTCAACATCTGTGAGATGGCCGAAGAAGTTGGCACTCCATGTCCTCTCCATCACACTCCACCTGTACTTTCAGATATACAGTATACACTGCTGCACACATTGTTCGTCAACATACTAGACGTCGCACTCATATTCCCCACACTAAAGCCCATCTGCACACGGTTTTCTCCGCTCGCCAGAGAGTACTGCTTTCGCTGCATACTGCTCATGCTAGCGATGTTCCGCATAAGGGTACTTAAATTATCGACTTGAGCAAGTTGAGGGAGCAGCAGAGTCCAGTGATTGTTTTTGCACTTGCAACCAATACTGGCATTGTCCCGGATATGTGCAGCGATGTCCATTCTGGCCAAATCATCGGCCGACTCACCTCCCAAGTCAGTGTCGATGCCAATCGCTTGCCAGGTTGTCATCAGAGTAGAATTCCTCGTCACAGCAGATCGTGGGACTACCAGCATCAATTCTTTTTACGCTCGATGAAAGTGTCGCCCTCAAATGACTCGTCGCTGTATCCATCATCGTCTTCCTTCTGTTTCCGACTCGAATCCCCAAAATATTTTATCCTGCGCATGGAGTGCGATGATGTCGTCTTCTTCCGCTCCGCAGTACATTACTACTACTACGCTCTTCTGTCGATACATTGAGGACGATCAGTTTTAGGCGACTCAGCGCAACGTGGAATACAAACTCTAACAAATAAACTTACTTGCAACAGAAAATTGCATCCGGAACAGTACAGTCGACCGAGGAGAACAACAACAGCAACTCGCGTTGCACTGCACTTCGTATTTTTTGCCGCGGAATTCAAATCGTGATTTTCTCGACTTTTTCAAAAAAAGCTGTGGTCATGTTTTAGCGCGCTCGGGCTCATATCATGGTGGTGACTGATCATAATATGGAACGTATAAAAAAACAAAACAAAAAAACAAAACAAAAACGACTACAGCCACAAAACCCAGCCTGTGTAACCAGGAGGGTAGGAAGCAACTTGCAGCCTGTTCATCTTTTGGTTGGTCAGTCCAAAGTCCCCACCACATACAATCCATACAGCCGACCTACACACAGACTTACATATTTTCTGATCTCGCGAACTAGATTGTAGAAAGCATCGTCCTGCAAACAACCATAAACACAACCAACTGCGTCAACAATACTTCACGTACAGTCAACTTCGCTAAAAACGACTGCAGATATAACAACAGAATTTCCACGCCCAGAGCAAAGTCCCATCTAATACATATCATGAGACTTCGGGTATAAGGACACTTTTCTGATGCCCCGCCGAGTGTCGTTATACGCAGTTGACTGTAGTTTAAAAAATAAAACGGTTAAAACACACACCAAATGCAAAGTTACATCAGGAAAGCCAGAGTAATGAAGCACACACTAAAACTTACAACTCCCTGTCTTGTCTTGGCAGATGTCTCAATGAATGGAATCATGTAGTTCTTAGCGACTCCGACTGACGTCTTTGTGTCCACCTCTCTCTTGGGCAAATCGCATTTATTGCCGACCACTGCAACAGCAGAAAAAGAAAGAAAGAGAGAGAGAAAGAGAGAAAGAAAGAGAGAGAGAGGGAGTTATACCCTGCCGACTTGCCTGGTTTAGGCCGAAGTGTCCGTAACTTCGGGGTCTGAATAACCGAGACATGAGTGTACAGCAATTATGACCAGCCAAAGTGTCTTGAAGAACACTCGAATGTAGACCTGAGGAAAACAGACCTCTGGTAATGCGGGACACCATTCGACAGTCGCTGCCGGAGGTACATCGACAGCATTGCACACTTCAATCTACAGGAGTCAGGAGAAAACCTGTGAAGTGAGACCAGCTCGGGCCGGTCCCACTCGCGTGTCCGTATTGCTCAAGGAACGCACCACAGTATACACGTGGTTATCATCGTGGTCTGCCTGCACACAATGCAGAACCCCCAGCGGCCATGACAATACTTACAGATCATGGGAACACCATCAGTCTCACTAGCATCTTTCACCCGCAAAATCTATGACAGGCAGGCAGCAGGGAGAGCAAAGCGGGCAAGGATTCGTCAGTTCAAATGGCGACTAAACAGTAGTTGTTGTGGCAACGCACTACAACCCATACCGTACTTACGCACATATAAGCGCAACTGCTCATGTCCGGATATACATGTAAGCGCACCCCTCAATTATAAGCGCATGTGCTTATATGTGAACACTATTGGTGAAAAGGCAGGAGCAAAATATACTGCTAAGCAGTGTGGTGACACCATTGTTTAGGACACAGACAAACCTCTATTGCGCATATAAGCGCATGGGCTTCTACCCGAACATGTTTACAAAGCCAAAGATCTTTTTTGCAGCAAATTTTCGCTCGCTTATAATTATGTGTGGGGAAGTAGGGTGGGTATACAGCCAGGATACGTCAGCAAAGTCCAGACTTGACTTTACTCGCTCAACGCAGCAGTGCATGATGCAATGGGAACTAGTCCAGGGTGCTAGCGTTACACGTCGGGTTGGATTTCGTTAAGTACAACTGTATATGGCCGTCATGAAAACAGTAGCCACAGGAGCAAATATCCAGGCGCAATCGCCCAAACCTACCTGCTCGCGATAGCTGTTTATATCCTCGAAAGAGCGTTGACTATTGACAGCGAAGACGAGAAGGAAGCCTTCTCCAGTTCGCATGTACTGATCACGCATAGCACTGTAGAAATAGTGAACAGAACATACAGTAGCTGTCAATACACAAGCGCACAGAGTGCAAGTCCATGGAGTAACGAAGCTTTCAAAACTCATCGGAATTATTTGCTGAGAGGCGTGTGGATAAGCCATACGTGAATGTACACACACACATGCAGCACAGTATGCATGCCGTGTTGGCCGCTGGTTTCTCAAGATAGGAGGTTTCTTGCTGCAGTGATCATACAGTTATGCCAGGCTTAGGTGCATGCTAGTAAATAGTGCTGATGAGTGATGAAACAATCTACAACTCTGCATGTCGGCTGTCAGGGGCGTCGGAAGGCATTGCACAGTCAATACCTTGCAGAGTCGTGCACCCATGATTGATGAAGAGCGCAACACAAACAGCAGTACACCATCTCACAGCACATACCTGTATTCTTCCTGGCCGGCGGTGTCAAGAATGTCCTGTGAGCATCCAACACACACACACAAGACATGGACCAGAAAAAGCATAGAATCAATGCCAAGGTTTCCCACCAAGAGATTTTGTGACCGAAAAGAAGAGGAAGAAATGTCAAGTCTAGAAAGTGAAGTGGGACCAAAGAAACAGAATTCGTTGTTGCCATCTTCATTCGGTGCGTCAATTCATAGTAGTAATAGCAAAAGTACATAACCAAGAGTGTGCAACTCCTATCTCGAGCTGCGATGGGTTCACCCACGGCGGAATTTTTTTATTGCGTCATTCTTTGGCTGAAGTATGATCAAGTGCGTATGCTTTCCCGCACATTTTTTGTAAATACGGTGAGAGTTCACCAGGTTCAGGACACATCGATCTATCGTCCATTGTTCTGCTTCGACTACCGTAGCTGTGATGTACAAATTCTTTGTACTTTGATGTCTGGCTACGCATGATGGCATCAGCGAGCCAAACAGCCGCCAAAGACTGATGTCATAAAAAAATTCCGCCGTGGGCTGGGGGAGCGTCGAGTTGCACACTCTTGGTTATGTACTCTTGGTAATAGGTTTTTCATTTGACCCGACGAGACAACTTGACGCTTGCAGATGACAGCACGGACATTTCAGCAGCCACACTGCACGATGGCAAGTATTGTTACTCCTGGCAAGTCATGTCAGGAGTAACACTATCGTGGAGTGTGGCTGGTGAAATGTCCATGCTGTCGTCTGCAAGCGTCGAGTGGTCTCGTCGGGTCAAATGAAAAACCTATTACTACTAAAGAAACAGAGTTCAACGGCGTCTGAGGCTGAAGTGATCAAGTGATAGATTCTGTGTTCTTCCTGTCTGAACCACAATGACAAACAAGATGAGAGAAATTGATGGATAGGAGACATTGGATGAGTTGCTGAAAGTGAGTCTACATAGAGCTAGCTTTGTTACAAGGAAGACAAGAGAGATGCTCTCAGGGAAGGAAAGGTGTTGTGTTTCATTCCTTATCCATCTAGCGAGCAGCATGTCTTCCAACCGATCTCCCGAAGAACAACTGGCCGCTGCCATGCGGATCTCGTGTTGAGTACGAAAAGGACGACGACATATTCTCCAGACATTACAACGGACAACGGGAACAGGTTAGGTCGAACAACATTTATTGGGGAGACGAAGAGACTGAGATAAAGACGAACGAAACGACGACGAAAGAAGTGTTTTATTCCTCATCCATCATCCATCTAGCGAGCATGTCCTTATCTCCCGAAGACCAAATGGCCGCTGCCATGCGGATTCCGTTGACGCCCTGCTCGCCGCCTTCTTCTCCTCCTCCTCAATCACCGCCGCCTCACCCGAACTGCGCGGGGCTCGATCCTTGGAACCCATCCCCATGGGGGTCGCCGCCGAGGCAATGTACACACTATAAGTAGTACAGGAACGTTGGAATGATCTGTGGTGCATTTTTAGTATACACTTTTGTGAGGCCCGTGCGTTGTGTGTGTGTGTGTGTGTTTCTGCTGAGGCTGGCCATAATTATCTTGCTTCTGCGGGCTCACTCCTCTAATTTGGATGTGTCCTCGGTTTTTACTGTCCTTTCTGTCCGTCTACTTCCGCGGAGGGTTTCTTGACGAGTGCGCGTATGTATTAGCCTTATTTTCTCTCCGTCTCTCCTGCTCTTTGTCGGTTTCATTCTCTCTCTCGTCTCTCTTTCTCTCTCGCTCTCTCTCTCTCTCCTTCTGCGTCCCTTTCTTCTTCTTTTTTTCTTTGTAAAGGTTCCTGCAACCACAGTGATTATGCTTGCTATTGAAGTATTCGAGAATGGAAAATAAAATACCTTTTTATCGTTGTACTATCTTGCAATGTGGATGCTGGAGCTGGAGGCTTTCTGATAGTGCTTGTGGATGCTGTTAAAGGGCCACTCCGGCTTCATTTTCGACGCCGAGTTTTCGATGCCAAGACGAAGGTAGGTGAAAGAGAAGACCCCTCGAACAAGAACGAGTTTCCAGAAGCGATCGAGTCGAGCAGGAAGACGACTTTTGAATTTCGCCGAGCAAGCGCTGATGACGTAATGAGGGATTAGCTTGCCAGTGGAAATGCATCTGCGCACATACATTTCACATAATTTTTGGCCAATTTTCAATCGAAGAGGAGGTTGTTTTCTATGTTCTCGCAACGTCGTGAGCGATCCCGTCTTCTATACCCTCCCAGGTACCCTTAAGGTCCTCCAGAGGAGAATTTATCTCCAGCGAAGCGTTGTTGATCCGCTAAATTCGTCTCGAGACATATTCACCCAGTGCAGTGCTGATAAATGTAGAATGTTGAATCTGTGATAATTGTTGACGATGGAGATGCGGAGGAACTCGTAACGGCAATCCGCCAACGTTTATCACGACGAAACTTTGAACTACCGCGACGACACATACCACCCAACCGCCTACAACGACCACGCCCGCAGCCACGACCTACTCGACACCGCTACTTCGACGTTCTGCCACCCCACCGACTTACCTTGCCAACCATGCCACGTCACGCGCCTTACCGCAACTGGACTGGCCCGCCGCCCAATCGTCATGTGTTCCCTCGTCGTGGTCCTGTCTATGTCCACACCGCCCATTGGTTTGTCGTGTGATGTCTTATAGTCCATTTCAAAAATATAGACGCATGGTATTTTTGAAATAATTAATTTGGCCGGTGCTTTTCAAATTTTTTCTTCTTCGGAATATTGCTCAGGTCCTTCCCCCAACTTTTCTCCTTTAGATTTTAAGCGATCAGAAAACGAACGCCAAATTTCGAAATCTGTATGCACAAAGTGATCACAGATTTTATGTGGTATAGATGCTGGCGTAACGGTTTTTTGAAATCACGGGTCTATATTTTTGAAACGCACTGTAGCGTGCGTTTGGTTGGTACAACCTAGAACAGGATTCACTAGAACAGCACGTTTGGTTGGGACTGCACTTGTTCTGGGTCAGCCAGAACATGTTCTGCTTGCTCCGGCCTCGAGGCTGGAGCAGCCAGAGCAGTTTTTCCCAGTGTAACCTGGCAGGAACATCGGTTTTGATGCAAAATGATCACGTACACATGCTTTTGGGTGGCACTTGCCATTCACTCGTTGTACCGTACACAGTGACCATGGTGACATGGACGCGTTTTGACGAATGCAACCAAGTTTCGCGCATTTTTTCACATAAGTGTACTCTGTTTCCGGAGTACCGTTTGGTTAGCAGGAGGCGGCTCCATGTGCACCAGCCGTTCAATCCTGTTCTACAGTCCATTTCAAAACTATAGACGCGTACCTAGGCAAAAACCGTTATGCCAGCATCTATACCACATAAAATCTGTGATCACTTTGTGCATAAAATTTTCCAAATTGGGCGTCTGTTATCCAATCCTTTAGAAACTATATGAGAGTAATTGTGGAGCGACCCTGAGCAATATTCCGAAAACTATTCTCAAAAAGTTCCAGCCAAATTTGAAATATTTCAAAAACCCTACGCGTCTATAGTTTTGAAATGCACTGTAGATAGTACCAACCAAACGCGCCCCTAATTTGGTACTTGTAAAGTACTTGCTACAAGTAAATCCTATATATAGGATTTTGCCACTGTGGTCATATTTTCCACTCAAATTGGGCATGGCACGAAACTAGCAAACAGTAAGTGACCAATTCTTCCTTGCTAGGTCTGAGTAGGTCACGAGAGTTGAATTGGTTGATTATTTCAAATATTAACATCCCAGGCTCATCTCCCTGCACAATATTTCTAAAGCCCGGCCCCAGTTCTTCAAATCCTATATACGTGTACAGGATTTGAAATTTTTAGACCTGGTTTTAGCCTGAAAACTGGTAGCTTCATGACGACATAACGACATGTGCCATCATGAAACCACCCCGTGCCGGGCAAGCAATGTTCGCCTGCACATGGGTAATCCTGAAATAAAGATTATAATTATATTATAACATTCACTGCTTCAGTCCTTTCCATGACAGCAGCTGAGCTCAAAATTCCAATTCTTGCCGAAAATTGGCATTCACGAGAAAACTATCGTCCCATGAAGTAAAAAAAGTAATCATCCATGTAGAAAGGAAAAGGACATATGGAAACGAGTTAAGAGTAACTCTCCACCACTGTAACTAGATACTATATACAGTCAGAAAGTGCAACAACTAGGCACAAAACTGACAGAGTACTGAGACATTCGACGTCCTGACACCTAGCTTCAACACATCTCCGTAGCGCTAACCGACAGCCTCTTAACTCGTTTCCATATGTCCTTTTCCTTTCTACTTTTATTATTGGCTCAATACCCGAGTTTCAAATCATCCATGTCTCGAACATAATTTTCTATGAAAGTCATTATGCTGTTATTATTGGTCATGATGACCAATAACAACAGCATAAAAGTCACACATTCTCCAATCCCATATATAGGATTTTTTTGCCAGCAAATGAAGATATGGGCAAATCGTCACCAGATGTTTGGCAAAGCATCTGAACTGCGCATCCGTAATCTGAACCATCTCCCAAATAAGGGTTCTCATCCGCCACCCATTTGAACCCGTACACGAGGGCACGGCAGACGCCCCCAGATAGCTACAGACCATGCACAGGATAAGACACGCAAGCACTCCCCACTGGGCTCACATCCCATAAAAGGAACTTTGCCGCCCTCCCAACAGCGTGCCATATAATGACAAATTGGCACATGGTTGAAAATTAATTAAAAAAAAGAATGCCTCAGCACTCCCTGTCAGTTTTGTACCATGTTGTCTCACTCACTGACTGCACATGATCTGGTTACTTTGGTGGATAGTTAGTCACAACTCGTAACGTATTGTCCTTCCTCCTTTTATCCAAAAAATATTTCAATATTTTTTTTCGGATAATAATTATTAAAATAAAATAGAATACTAAAATTCCCTGGTCATGTGAGACTGAATCAGACTGAATCTTCCGCATCCGTAGGCATGCCACCACCGCCCAAAGATCAAGGTGAAAATGCACACTGGATACACGTATGGAGAAGATACAGGCATCAGTGAATCGAACCGAGCACATTTTTATGATGTCAAGCAAAGTTTAATACGTTCTGCAAGGGCTTGATTCTCCAGACGATGACACACCAGGAAAGGTACAGCTAGAGAATAATCCATCACAGGCAACAGTAGAAGGTAGGCGAACGACCCAACAGGAGCAAAACTTGACACCGTTTAAAAAGTATTGCTCTTGTTGCGTGATTCAGCTACCTATTTTTACTACTGCTGTCTGTGAAGCAAAGGGTTACAGTAAGAACAGGCTCTGGCATGAATATGCTGCAGGGTTACGCTAAACGAAAAATGGCTTGAAGACTCCGCACGTGATGCTCGGCATGTGTCTACTGTCCCTTTACAGGACTACGGTAGGACACATACAAGCGAACAAGCCGTGCTTACCAGAAGGCATGTCTCTCCATCGATGACCACTTGTTTTCGGTAGGAATCCTCTGCAAGAATTAGAAACAAATGCACACACACACAGACAATAAGTACGCATTGAAATTCCTTATTTCAAGCAGGCAACAGGATACGAGTATTTCACTAACAATTTCCATTCTCCCTCAAGAAACCAGAACCGATGTCATTGGTTTTCGTTGAAAAGCTCCTGTAAATGTTTCATTCAATGAAACATTCACAGGAGCTGTTTTTCTTTCCTTTCACTCTCTCTCTCCATCAAGTACAACAATGAAAAGAGCAGGAATTTAAAATGACCAACACTTACCAATGGTGGGATCATACTCGTCAACGAAGCTGTAACACACACGTACGCGCGCAAACACGAACACACAAGTTAACAAGTCAATATTGCTATCATACATGAGCGTGCACAACCAATCACACCTCTAATCGAATAGCCAGCTAGCTACGCCAGCAGGCGAGTGACTTCACGCTTACGCGTGTCCCCTACAACCCACACGCTTCAAATCGTAAACCAACTGCGTTTGAATGTCCCAGTCATCATGACATTGGTTTTTAGAGGCTGTGCTAGGTTCACACAAATACTCCAAAATAAGGGTGAAACAGTCCGTAGTTGTTACAGCAGTGGGGAGAGTACAAAATTGTACATGGACACTTCACAATAATGTTGAGTATAGCGATTGTTGTTGGCGTGGAGTGCTGTTGATGTCTCTCGTATGTGTACTCATGGTAAGAATAAAATGGGCATACGTCATCATGTTCGGACCTGACGACATCAAGTAGTACACTCTGGTTTATGTACTCGTTATACAGCTATACAATACTGTCTATAGTGCCAGTGGCCAGTTACCACACAAACCAATGCTGCAGTCCTGCAAAGCTATAATAAGAGAATGCCCACGTGATTGAAAAGCTAGGTGGGAAATCAGATTTTAATCTGTAACAGTCCTCGTCGGAATAGTACACTCCGATAGCAGTACATCTGTGAGGACACTACATGCCTTTCCGAAGAAAAGGTAGCCTAGACCCGGGGGGTACTACCAAGTCTTACTCTACTGGTTTTGAATGAACACAGAGCAAAAGTTGCCAAAACCTTCACAAATTGTAAATTACTTACTGGTTTTGAATGAGCTGGATAGTTAGAGCGCTTTTGCCAACACCACCAGCTGCACAGGGCAACAAAGTAAGATAGCCTCAATAGAATGATCGGAAAACTGCTCAGCCGAACGGACTAGGCCTACAGTGCATTTCAAAACTATAGACGCGTAGGGTTTTTGAAATATTTCAAATTTGGCTGGAACTTTTTGAGAATAGTTTTCGGAATATTGCTCAGGATCGCTCCACAATTACTCTCATATAGTTTCTAAAGGATTGGATAACAGACGCCCAATTTGGAAAAAATTATGCACAAAGTGATCACAGATTTTATGTGGTATAGATGCTGGCATAACGGTTTTTGCCTAGGTACGCGTCTATTGTTTTGAAATGGACTGTAGGGCCGGCACAGCAGAAAATCAAACACTGCAGTCCACAACGGGGGGAAATGGGATGATGGAAATTATTTTTGTGGGTAGAATCACGTACCTCCGACAACGACGAGCTTGTATTCCGTCATGACTGTTCAGCAACTCCAAGATACACAAGAATTAAAAATAAATAAAAGGACTCGGGGAGCTTTCGGTTTGGAGCGTGATTAGCAGACAGGCCGAAGCTTGGTAAATAAAAAACGAGCGTCGATGACAGGGAATATCCTTCCAGAAGCCGGAATAACCTTTCGTCCACAGCAGGGGCCTATTCTGTTTGTGCTTCAACACAAACTAACTCACAGCTGGCGACAACTATTACTTCATGAAATTAGACACCTAGTCGTCCTAAGCATGTGTGGAAACAAAGAAGCCAAAGGCAAAACACCTCTCCAATGCCTTTCCAAACCAAAAAACCAGTAGGCAGTAGCCTCTCACAGCTGGATGTGCGCGCATTTTTCGTCTTGATCTTCGCATATACACACCTAGTACCTGTGCACATGGTGCATGTGAGCAAGCTGAGCATGAGGAGCGAGAGTTGCGAGAAGCATCCGCACGTCCGCGCTGTGCAGCGTGTGGGATCCCGGGGGGAGGCGCTGCGCGGGTGCACGAGGGGGAATCACCTGTCCTTGCCCTGCATACGAGAAAAGTGCACAGTTCGGTACTCGTCGCAGAACTACCACATCTGGATATGACATGTCATTGTACGATATTATCGCCCTCCGTAGGTACTAGGTCTACGGTACGTAGATCTACATGCTGCAAAGCGCGTGCACACACCGTAGAAGCAGCTCGTACCTGTACGAGGGGGATGCTCCCACCATACCACTGCACCATGTACCAGTGCAGTGTACTACTCCCTGCTCCCCACACTGCCACAGCAAAACACCAACACTTTTGCCAGTTTTGGCACAAGAGTCCAAAACGTAACACAAACTATGAACCAGGGACTACTCCCTGCATGCTCTGAACAGTATCAAAATTAATGCTATGCGCAGAAGATGCTTTTTTACCAAATTTTGGTTGTGGCACCGTTTTTATTCCATTTCCCGTCACTGTCTGTTTTGAAAATGCCAGTCAAGAAGAAGCTACTGAAATTTCACAAAATTAATTTCGGTGTACTTATATTTTCAGCACTCTCCGGGTGCGTCTGTTTCATACCTAAACAAATCGTAATCCAATAGGGAACTGCTCCTCTGTACCTAAAGTTATGTTCACGTAATTACCTGCTGGCCTTTTGCTCTCATACCATGTACTTTAAAAGTACCTAAAAATTCTGAGGAATTGTGTGTTGCTCCCTACACGGCTACAAGTGGGAGCTCCTATACGTGTAATTGGCCTACACTGTATAAGTGGGAGCTCATGCTTTTCCTGCCGACTTGAATTCTCACTTGACTGACTCACGACTAAAAATTCTGACTATGATTACAAAATGTAGACTAATATAAAATTAAAGGCTGAGTATTCTGTTGTCAAGTGAACAGTGTCGTATCAAAATCTGTGACTTTAATACAATGTACAGTGTTACTTATCATGATATGCATTCAGAAAGAACGTTCTCACTCTCCCCTAGGCACTAAATTATCCAGCCTCTTTTACCGGCGGGCGAAAGAAACACTGAATGGATGAAAATGCAATACAAATGCAAACCCAGAAAACCAGGAAAAGGAAAAATATGTAACCCAAAAGAATGTGTGATTTAAAATAATAAATTAGTAACACTATGTATGCCGGCTAATATGTAGTTCCACTCCAAAACTATAGCAGCACCCAATACAGATTAAAATGCAGTTAAAAATAATATAAGAACGCAGACAAACAACACCTCGCATATGCCCCTCCACAACAGCCAACTCTCGGAGTGCATTGACTGGACGGTGGTACGCCGAGCGGGAGCCGCGGATGCACATTAGGGCGGCTCTTACCTAAAGCGAGTGCTAGCCGAGTCCGGATATAGCACATCATTTCTCTATACTTCTTGTCGTCGTTGCTAGCCAGCATACCGCACAAACGCTTGAGAAATCGGTTGGTTTCTGGCGACGTACATCCGGTCGTGGAGAAGATGAAGGGAGTGAAGGTCCCACGATCGACATGATGTATGATACGCCGCATATTCCAACTTCTTTCTCCGTTCGAGGAGAAGGGCATCAACTGGATTCTTTGCATATGACGCAGCGTCCGGATGAAAAACTAAAACATCCACACTGAATGCGTCCTGGGCGCTGGTCCAGAAATCTCACACACACACACACACACCTTTATGTTAGCTCTTGCATCATCCGCAACATTCGTGCTGGCTGCTCGCGGAACACTTCACTAGTGACCGGAGCAAGCGGAGGCTCAACCAGTACACTCTTGCACGCCTCTGTAAGCAGGTCGGCTACCAAATCCCTCACCTCGTTATGGAGGATTGTGGGAAAGCCTCCCGTTGGACAGCACATGGCATGAGTTACCGAGAAGGTTTTTCCACTAACACACGTGGCTGGCACATCCTTCAAAGGCCACTCATAACGTAGGGCTAGCGCATCTCAAAAGTCACCCCTCGACAGATGATAGCCATGTTCATCTAGCGGCAACGCATTCAGCCACGTAACCGTTGACACTTCCTTCTTTGAGAAGTGGTGAATCTCATTGTACCTATTCTCTTCCTCCAGGCGTCGCTCCCGACCAACAGCAGACTTTGCTCGCAACGCAGACTGGATTATGGCAATTGGAGATCTAGGTAACCACGATGCATCATGTTGGTTTTAAACAATCTCAGCCACCTGGCAATCAGTTATGGACCGAGACGAGGTTAATTCAAAAGCCGCCATCCGCTGGAAATGCGGGATAGCAAGCCCGCCAAGGCGGGTGGGCAGGCGCAGTAATGCTAGCTCCTCATCAGTAAAGGTTTCTCTCCATGCGAGTGCCGGCAATAATTCATTTTGTTTTGATAATGGCCAAGAGAAGTCAAGCAATCGGCGGGGAATGGGACCGTGCGCAACATGTAGGTCCATCGACCACGAAAGCCGTGAGTGATAGCTGAAGGTTCGGTGTCCGCAAAGACAGTGAGGCGTCGCAACTCAACAATCCATTTTTCAACTGTTTCCCGCACATTGCTTGCAATTGCATCAATCTCACCAATAATTGCGAACCCAAGTATTTCACAGGTTCGGTGTCCGCAAAGACAGTGAGGCGTCGCAACCGGCTCAACAATCCATTTTTCAACTGTTTCCCGCACATTGCATCAATCTCACCAATTATTTGCGAACCCAAGTATTTCACAGCACCAGTGACCATTCGTATACCGCTATTATGGGGCTTGAAATGCGAAACGCCTCATCAACCATGCCAGGCTTTACCAGAGGCAGAGTCTTCTTCGAATTGGTGTAATAGCCATATTTTTGACCGTATTCTTGTAGATTGTCCCACCACAGGTGCGTGTATGGCGGCCTTCCTCCACCACTGGATCGCATACCACGTCTGGCAAATGGATGGGCAATCTGCCTGAAGGAGCTGAACCAAAGGCAGTGTGGCAAGGGCATAAAACACCATAGAAAGGGGATCGCCCTGTGTCTTGCGAGGCCAACTCACCACCGCCCGCCACAAACAGCAGCGCTGACTGACCGTATGAGTTACACATAAAATATTAATTAATAATCGCTAACGAGGCCTATTTCTCACCCTCACCTGTTCAGTTTGTTGTCAATGTTTCACTTCCTTTCCCCTGCGTGTGTGTGTGGGGGGGGGGGGGGGAGGGGCTCAGGCACACGGTTTCTCCGTGCCTGGTCTGCGCAATCTGGAAATTCTCAGATTGCGCGCAACATGCCATTACATGTGGCATAGCCTGTCCCCGGGGAAAATTGCGGAAAAAAATCGCAAAAAACGCGGGAAAAAACGCGGCATAATATGGCATAATTTGCGGTGAATTTGCGGTAAATATGCGGTGAATGCGGCAATTTTCAGTGAGTATGTAGTGAAATCAATCAGTTACAAGTCTCTGGTGTATAAAGCACCCATTATTTGAGTAAAAAGCCGCCACGATGAGACGTTGCTAGCTGCTGACCGAAAAGTGCACTGTGTGTACGTGTAGTACAACAAAAAGTTCAAAAAACGCGGGAAAATCGCGGAAAACGCGGTCTTTTAAAAAATCGCAAAAAACGCGGAAAAAAACGCGGCCGCGGAATCGCAATTTTCCCCGGGGACAGCATAGCGCATGTATCCGATGATGAGTGCGCATTTGATACATTAGATTTGTAAACTGCAGGAAAGCTCATTTTTCTTCTAGTTTTCGCCAAAGAGGCCCGGGGGGGGGGGGGTATCACTCCCTGGCATGAGTTGAGAACTATAGTATTACTTGAGATTGTGTTGGATGCATGCGACTATTGACTCCATGCATACACTCGGAGTACATCATCATAAAAATGACAGCATGATGCTTCTATTGAAAGTGAAGTGATCGGCAATGGATCGGCCGTTGCAACCAGGCGGGGGGGGGGGGGGGGGGGGGGGGGTAAGTACCCTTCGTATCGCAGCAGTGTTCACGTTGCACTGCAATTGATGTTGCACTGAAGTGACTTCATCTGTTTGCATTTACAGCTGGTTGAAACTAGATCACCGAATGACAATTGGAAGCAATCTATGCCGCGGTATTTGTTAATAATATTTTTTGTAACATCAGTAAGTAGCTGTTGCAAGTACTTGTACATGCACTCGAAGTACACATTACATGAAGCAGGCACAGAAGTTATAATAATTATATTGATACCAACATTAGCAAGTAGTTATTTATCACATGCACAAGCTTAGAGAGAACTGTATCGGTAGATTACACATCAAAATGATCTTTAAAAAAATTTATCCATGATTATTGTTATTCTACTGGGGTAGTATTTATTTATCAGGCACTGTGGCTGCTACGGTTACTGAGAATGTATGAGTACCATGCACAGCATGGACAACCACAATCTCCATCTCTCTATCATTAGTAAAAATATAAGGAAAAAAATGTGCTGTGGGTCAAATATGGATATCTCAACTGCAGGGCAGCTTACCGGCAGTTGCTCAAGGATTCGGGTTGTGACATGTATGGCTAAGCCATGCTAACAAAGCGTTGTCTATGAATGTGCAGTCCGGAGACTTTTGTGCTTTTTCAGTGTCAGATCAGCAGAAAGGAATTCTTGGGCTGAACAGTCAATAGACATTTATGGACATGAGTCGGTATGTGTGTGTGTGTGTGTGTGTGTGTGTGTGTGTGTGTGTGTGTGTGTGTGTGTGTGTGTGTGTGTGTGTGTGTGTGTGTGTCTGTGTGTGTCTGTGTGTGAGTGTGTGTGTGTGTGTGTACGCGTGCATGCGCGTGTGCGTCCAGTATTGGTGAAACTGTGACAAAAGCGGGGAGAAGAACACTCATCATTCAATGCAGTGTGCATGCAGAGAAGTAGTGTGAACTGCAGGTTGTTTCAAGTATTGTTTTGGAAAATGACGAATTGCAGCAGAAACGCTGTTAAAAAGAATCTCAAATCAAGCAGCTATATCAGCACCTGCATAATGCTTACACAGGGAGGGCAAGGTCTTAGATAAGACTGCAGTGTCATAGGTGAATTGCTCCGTTCTCCTTGCACAGGAGCTAGGCCGGAATAGCCACACTCACATGACCAGCTCAACTTGGGCCATGGCTCGGTCAGCTGCTACCTGGAATTCGGAGGTGGGGTTGAGGTCATCACGACTCGTTCCAGCAACCGCATCTGTGCATCGGGATGGAGTGAAGAAAGGCGCAACGATCCATATATAGACATATCTCATTGGGCCTTCACAATAATCATGCCGGCATTACTTCCCTAAAGGAGTAGCAGAAGATGAAAAAAGCGCCCCACCCCCATCACCACCCATTTAAGGTCTCTGTCATCATTGCTCCAATGTAGCATGCCATACTCTACTGAATAAAGGCCAAAACTCTTCTTTGACCTTGGAGCTTGGTGTGAAGGGGTGTCCTACACTTCGGGGGAGGGGGGGGGGGGAGGGGGGAGTGTGGGCAAAAAAGGAAGTTGTCGCCGCCTCATCCATCACTAAGCATAATACTAGCTTGCTCCATTATCTCAAAAGGCACCATGTAATGGTGATGGCCTGTGCCACTTGCATGCCATTCTAAATGAAACTCATGTCAGTTCGCTAATGGTGCATCGCGCTTGCCTTGCGGTACGGCCAAGTGGGGAGTATTTCAAGTTTTACTTACAAGGCGATCTTCTTGAGTTGTTCCGGGGATCAAACCATCTGCATAAACAAGTCAACCAAATACATACGCGTATGCACGCACACACACACACACACACACACACACACACACACACACACGCACACGCACACACACGCACACGCACACACACACACATACACACATGCGTATGCACGTACATACATACATACACAGACATGATGGGTGAGAGGACATTCCAGACTGCGAAACAACAAAACCAAATTCCGAAGTTAGGAGAGAAAAAAATACGTCATCATGCAACTGCATAAGTTATGTGCTTGTGTATATGTGTGTGTGTGTGTGTGTGTGTGTGTGTGTGTGTGTATGTGTGTGTGTGTGTGTGTGTGTGTGTGCGTGTGTGTGTGCGCGCGAGCACACGCGTGCGTGCATACAGCTGCTGTTTGATAACACTCATCATCAACAGCCAAATATGGAATACCTTGCCATCACTCACTTTTCTTTTCCATTGGCAAGAGTTCATGCGGCAGGTTCATAGCTGACAGCGGTGGCTGGTTGCCAATGGCGACCGCTCTAGGCGTGTGCCAGAGCATGTCCTCCTGTCGCAGCGTCTCCAGGTCCAATGCCCGCACCGCCGTCGCTGGGTCCATGGCAAACAGGTCGCTGGTGGTGCTGCTGGTGCTGCGGTTAGTAAGGTAGATGCCGGAGTTGCGATACTGAATGTTATTCCACGGCGACGACTCCGTCAGCCAGGTCACCGGGCTGTACCAGTCCTGCTGTACGAGCGGAGGCTGTAGCATCACAGGCACACGTGTGTGTTGGTGTGCATGCATGCATGCGTGTGTCCGGGAAAACATAACAGGAACAACAGTGATTAGCTGGGGAAATAACTATGCCAATCATACTGCCCATGCACTCAGAGAATGAAACCGTTGTTCGCAAGAATCTATTGTTCAATACACATTTGAATGACGCTCCACACATACTTGTATGACACTCCAGACATATCTGCGCGACACATTCCTTCCAATGCCAATGCCGTGCATATTTCGACATCCAAGCATTGGTGGTTCAGTGGTAGAATCCTCGCCTGCCACGCGGGGGGCCCGGGTTCGATTCCCGGCCAATGCATCTTTTTTCGTGGAAAGAGACTTGGACAGACTTGTCGAGTGTTGATGGTTGTTTGTTTGATTCTATGTTTACTTTGCCAGATACACAGGCACGTCTGCCTTCTCGACTAAACATACAACTTAAGCGGGACTCACAGAAGCTTTTTTGCGATGCGACGCGATCTGCGACGGACGCGTGCGATGCGAACTCGCGAAATACCATTCACAGAAGAAGTCAGTGATGCGACAACATCTTGCTGATTTGGCTACGTCACCATGATATTTGCGCGGTTTGATACAACTTGTACAGATTCATAGGCAACTCTTGAACCTTTGTACAACTTTGCTGTAAAAAAGGTCAAAATCGTACGCCAAATCGCTTGTCGCATCGCATCGCAAAAGTTGACCCAAGCTCAACTTCTGCGATGGCTTGCGATGGCCCAGTTGCGGCAGTTGCGTGGGGTGCAACATGGCTGCGATTTGGGGTTTTCCCGGTTTCGCGCCTGTCGCATCGCGTGTCGCATCGCAAAAAAGCTTCTGTGAATCCCGCAGTCAGACTTTTTAAAACTAAAGATGAAGAATGTGCTTTACGTATCGGAGAGGCTCATAACTGCATGTACCACACACAATGAGATACGTATTGGCGTATGAAACTTACAGCGAGAGGCCAGGTGGCTGCCTCGATGACGTACGGCAGAACGTGGAAGTTCCACAGGCTGCTGAACCAGCGTGCCGCCTCCTGGCTGTCACTCGGACACGTCAGATACTGACAGGGCCCTGCACAAACAACACCGAGAACGCAACACCACGTACTGTATAATCAGAATAATTCTTCTCGATTCTGGATAAAAAGTTTCCTCGGAGACAAACAAAAAAGAAGCTATGACCCTCGGTAGTAGCACAAACTTCAGGATCTTCAACAACATTTCTCCACGAGTTTGTGACTCTGGATAATTTCGTCTTTTTCGTCCAAGGAGCTTTTGGACTAAATTAAATGTCAGACTAATGTTGATCTCTCCAGCTTTTCGATACTCTCCTATGGCCAATGGATTAAATTTTCAACCGGATGACCTCCCTTTCTTCGGAATTATCGACCGACTGAATTTCCTGCCAGTACAGTACGGTGAGTATCAGGGGGCGCCACTTTCTCACAAAATAATTATAATGCGTATTGTACAGTTTGTGTGAGCATCAGGTGATAGCAGGGAGTCGTAAAATACCGGTATTTTACGACTCCCTGGGTGATAGTTAAAAACGTATACTCAGGCGCGTAGCTCGTGTATAGACAGCATAGTCCGGTCAGCACACCAGCCAAACGGCCGTCAGACGTAGATCTACTACATAGTCAAGATAGGCAAAATGGCGACTATGAGGTTTGCCGGTCATTGCGCGAAATCACGCGACACCTGTACATTTTCGATCTGCGGGATGAAGATGACGACGTCCATGCATCAGGTATCAGGGGGTAGTAAGATACTGGTATATTACTACTCCACGCCTCAAATCGTGCTGTCAAGCGTATGCGGGGAGTGTAGCATGCCATCCCTTACACTTTCCAGCTCAGGGTTACCCTCGCTACCAATGGACGAAATTTCAGGGTCACAGCTTGCGCAACGGCTTTGTCCTGTGCGAATGGCCACTCGACATACTCAGCACAAATTTTCTATTGCATGCATGCACAAAATGTTCAACTTTCGTATTTTTGGCGACTTTACCACCGTCGTGGAGGCTGGTTGGTGAGGAGCAGGTAGCCATCCCTTGTGGAATCAAACACATGGTTCCACAGTGTGGCTGATTCCGCAAGAGCCAGGTCCATACGAGGAACATTCGCTTTGTCTTTTGCCATCGAAGTAAGTCACTTTTCTTGTTCTCAGTGTTTTTTACGTTCAACGTTTCTGAGATTTTTGAATTATTCACTTTTCATTCTTTCATACTTTATTTCTTCATGTTCACTGCCTCACTTGCCTTCTGATCTGGAGAATGTGACGGAGGTGACTGTTGGTTACTGCCTGGTATAACGGTTGTCGTGCTGTTGCTGTATTTCCGTCCTGCTCGCGACGTTGTAGATCACAAACAATTTGAAATCACATGAATTGTACTTACCGTCGTGCGAGCGGTATTAGGAAACACTGTGCAGATTAGATCGTCGCAATGTATCTATATGTGTGTCTGGTCATCCTGTGCCACGCAAGAACTCCAACCAGACGCATTCGTCCTCGGCCCTGTTGATCGATTGTCCACTCGTCTTTCCTTGAAGAACGATCGATCAAAAAAAATCGAGCTCGAGGACTTTTTGCAAAAAAACGGCTGAAAAAAGGAAGAAAAAAGGGTGCTCAGAATGAGATTCGAGTACACAACCATGGTCCCAGCAGTTTACGTGGATGTCGCTCATAGATGCGCGATTTCGCGCAATGGGTCCATGGTCACCATCAGGGAGTCGTATAAGGGTTTATGCAGTTCCCTGGTTATCACACTACAGATGTGCATGCTCTGCCCTTGTTTACTGGAAATCTGTGGACATCAGTATCCAGTGCTAGAACAGATTGGCACGGGAACTCACCCAGCACGGCGTGCGGTGAGACGATGGAGTGCAGGAACGTGTTGATGTGCTCCCAGGCGCTGGGCAGCCACTCGTAGACACTGGTCGTGTGACGATCTCCACCACTGGTGCTGTACAAAGGTACATACATACACACAGTGGCACAACCACATGCACACACACACATGCACACACACACATGCACACACACACATGCACACACACACACACACATGCACACACACACATGCACACACACACACACACATGCACACACACACACATGCACACACATGCACACACATGCACACACACACATGCACACACACACATGCACACACACACACATGCACGTACACACGCGCACGCACACATACACACACACACACACACGAATACAAACGCAACGTCACACTTTGCCATAAGCAGATAAGGCACCTGAATTTCACACACATTACTCAGTATTCACAGTCCTCTGCACAAACAACTATAAAAGAAGTGGTCACAGGATATCGGCGGCCTCTTCCAACTCCAGTCCAACTCACCTACACAGGAAATATCTAAAAGTGGCAACGACGAAAAGCGATTCAGTGGACATGAAGGCACCTTTGCCTATTAACTTTGCCTGTGCATTCAGGCACCTTTGCCTATTAACTTTGCCTGTGCATTCAGGCACCTTTGCCTGTGTATTGCCTGTGCATTCAGGCACCTTCGCCTGTGACTGACTTGTCGTACTTACCATGCCTGCAAGGAGATCCGCCGCTTGTTCAGATAGCGCGCCAGCAAGCCCTTCACTGGCTCATGGTGTGTAACGAGTCGGATGGAGGCACACTGACTGCTGGTCAGAGATGCATGTGAGTCTGGTGTTGAGGATGATGATGGGCTGCTGGCTGTGTTGCTTGTGTCTATACAGAACACACGGAAATGAAATGTACACACACACGCAGCGGCTCGACGACCTTCAACCACTGCACACCCTGTCCAGTACTGAATACTGTGATCCCTCTATAATCCGGCACCATTTCGTGCTATGGATATTCTGCTGGATTAGGGAGGGTGCTGGATTAATAAATCTGATCTACTGCTGCAATGTGCACGAAGTGGACATTTTGGCTACTGAAATTTATGCTGGCTTCAATGATAAAGTTCTGGATTAAGGATGACTGTATTGTGGTCATGGGGAATAGCAAGCCTTCAGCGCTCTGGCCATTAGCTTCAAAGTCAGCCACCTTTTTCATCTGAGCATTGGTGGTTCAGTGGTAGAATCCTCGCCTGCCACGCGGGGGGCCCGGGTTCGATTCCCGGCCAATGCATCTTTTTTTAGCACTCTTGTGACCATTCTACTTTTTGCATCCTTTGGCAATCACATGACAGGGGGACAGTGCCAGGGATTACAAGGACTGGGGCTGGGGCAAGGGCAAGGGCAGGGGCAGGAGGGTGAGTAGGAAGGACAAGAGTATTATTCAGGGTGCTCGCATACTTTCCGATCCACTCTACTACATTCCATGATCACCACGTGGAACTCCCTGCCTACCGAGATTAGGATATCTGAAACCCGTGGTGTATTTAGCCGGCACGTTAAGTCCCATTTCCACAAGTATAGATTCCATCCTCGAGGTTTTCTCACTTCCTGATTACCCCCCTTCTTTACCAGTACCCTTTTTGCTTGCTTCTACTCAGACTTCTTATTTAACCTCTTCACATTAATCTTTTTTTATCGTAATATTTTCTTTCTTTTAAGAATTGCACCTTATTGTACACGCATTGTACACATATATTTATTCTCGGAGACCCCCTTGATTTAGGCTTCGGCCTTTGGGGAATCCCTCAAATAATAATAATAATAATACTCTTCTTTGACATGTCACTGCAGGCTGTAACAAATGGCCAGGGATCACATTAACCATCAACACGCTCCCAAAACTCACTGTCATCATTCTGGCTAGCATCCATGTGTTCTCCGGAGCTGCTGAGAGTGCGCACTCGTGTAGCAGCGGTGTTGACATTGCTACATACAGGCCATCTGCTGGCTGTGATGATGACATACACCCTGTGAGCAGTGCAGGGATAACACAATCAGCCAGAATGCATACAAACACCATCAAATACGGCGCGAATTATGTTGTTAACCTGGGTTTCTCATCATAAACCCAGCCAAAACGGGGGATTAATGCCAGGAACAATCCACTCAGTATAGTGCCATCAAATTCGAGGGGACATCATACTAAACCTTGAATCATTTAAGTTTACATGACAAATTCAGTGATTTCTAGTTCAAAAACCAAGCAATTTGCTATGTCACATTTGGCTTGCTTGGAGTCTCTAAAATTGAGGACACACAACGTGGGTAAAATCATGTCTGAGACAAGCTGCCAATAAGCATCCAATGTTAACTAGCGTGTACCTTCGCTTGCCATCTCTACGTAGCGATGCCAGAGCATGCCGATCAAGGCACGACGTGTTGTCCAGGTCCTCAATGAACAGTCCGATGGGAGATGCCGACTGCTCCTCACTGAACCTGCAGTTTGTAACACACCGGGGAAGGAAGACAACCTTAGAGACATTCATCGCACAGGAAGATGTCGACGACGAATGGTCAACCACATCCGAGCATTGGTGGTTCAGTGGTAGAATCCTCGCCTGCCACGCGGGGGCCTGGGTTCGATTCCCGGCCAATGCATCTTTTTTTGCCCAACTCCTGAATGTGGCTCCAACAGAAACGCCTTCTGGAACAAGCACTCATTCTTCAACAGCTAACATATTGACAGGGTACATTATCCAAATACAGTGTACCGTAGCTTCTTTGGTTCGAGGGAATGATGCAAGTGGAAAAATCCGGAGAAAAAATTGACTGTCACCACCAGAATCCCTAGTAGCTTCTCTCCTTACTTTTTGCAAAAGTGCTCCACCACCTTCTTCACATGCTGCTCCAGTTGCTGCAAAAGAAAAGAAACACAACATTCCCCTTTGAATAGAACAATTCAACTGCCAAATACAACGGTCCAAACTATAATAAGCTGACTGTGCCAGTGTTAAATACGTTCGCCAATTTGACAGGGTTATCAAGGCATGCTCGTACAGTCCATCACAATGGTGTAGCTATTGACGGTGCCCTAAGACAAGTACAGTCATTGCGGTATAACAAGCAATGGTGTTTCGCTGGCTTACCGGCGGTGTGGTGATATTCCTAGGCGGACACGTCGTCAGAATTGCTTGGCTTACATCAGCACCATGCCTGCCAAATACACACACAAACCGAAGGCAAACCGGTATGACGAGCTGAATATTGTGAACATGTATTTGAAGTAGCTCTACTCCCCCACACAAATGTGCATTCCAGGAATGAGTGTGAGATACGCCATTCCAGTCCAGGTCCCAACCATCAATGTGTCCAGCCACACAACTGACATTAATTTTAATGATAGCCTCCCACCAGCGCATAGTTTGTGAAGAGTGTATTGATGTGATGTACAGTGTGCTGAGCCATACCTTGCTAGGATGTGCTTGAGCAGGTGTCGTCCCAGGAATGACTTGCCACACGACGTTGGCCCCGTGATGATCACAGGTTGATCCTCAACCAGACTAAGATAACTCTGTGTGTAGGCATGTGTAGAGGCAGGGTAGAATCACACAAACAACACATTACACTATCGGTGGAATGTTTCACAAGTCAGATTGGGAAGTTGCAAAGGAAAGGCAAAGTACCACGGGATCGCTTTCCTCGAGGAAATACAGTGCTGGCAACTGAAATCTGACCCCTGAGCGGTGCGCTCACATCGTAAAGACCCAACACAGGATAGTAAAACTAGGAAAACAGAGACCGCTAGAATGTTGAACGCGCCGCTAGGGGGTCGGATTTCAGTTGCCAGCACTATAGTAACATTGAAGATGTACGAAGTATCTAGTTGAAGACACATGCATACGCCACAATGATACAGAACAAGTACTGGTATGCTATTGCAGTATCCATAACCGGGAGCTGGATTTCACCGGCCCAAACTCCTGGACATGATTGTAGTAGCACTAGTGGTTCCAGTAGAAACTGTACCTTGAGTAGTGCCTTCGGGATGACAGTACTATAGGCGAGCTCGTCACAATCATGATCTGCTGCACCTGCAAGAGCACAGATACACACACAGACACACACACACGTACACACACACGCACACAATGACCGCAGAGAACGGCAACAGAATGGTCAATATCCAGCCATTCGCTGTGACACATGTTGATGGAATCATGGATGTCTACACGTGCAGGTACAGGCACACCAGTTTAAAGTATCCACTACCACATAGAACAACAAGGGCAAGCAAGGGCAAGCAAGGGCAAGCAAGGCTAGTTTGTGGCTACTCTGAGTTTCATAGTCACACAACCATCAGGCAACACGAGGATGCTATTGGCCATGCCGGTATTTATGCCAGGAGAAATATTGGTGGATTTTGTGGTGCTACGCATCGGGTGTTGATTCGGTAGCGTTCCACTACTATGCACATTGGTCGTACATACCTTTCAGCGTGACCTCCACATCAGCTCTTCTCTCGCTGCTCAGCAAGTCGTCGGGTAGCAGGTCGTCCTCGCTCTCCGACGCACGCATGGTGGGTTTCCTCACGATGCCAGCTATGCGGTACTGCCTCATGCTTTTCCTGGTCAAGCCCAGCGCCTGCACAGGGTCTATTGCCTTGGCATGGTTCTGCAAGCGGAGTAGGAGGAAGAGAGAGAGAGAGAGAGAGAGAGAGAGAGAGAGAGAGAGAGAGAGAGAGAGAGAATGGCAATGGTTTCAGTAGAGCATATAAGGAGACCAATTGCACTTCAACATTACGCCTACAGATATCTGAATGCAAAGATGTATTCAGAGCACACGTCGGCCCAATCAGACAAGTAGTTCATCCCAGTGGCTGGAGGACACACACACAGATATGCTTACCACCAACGCCTTGGCGACCATCTTGTCCATCTGCGGCCATGTTGACGCCATGGTAACCGACAGCCTGCCTGCATAGGTCCTGTGCGTATCCACGGTGACGTAGAAGTCACAGGGCAGCGCGGCGCTACTCATACACATGTCACTGCTGGTCTTGGTGGGCGAGGAGGCCGTATCCAGGTAGGACATCTCCAGCGAGTTACGGCCTGATGAGGATGCCAGCTGTGAGGATGTCATGCTGTCCTGTAGTTAGCAGGCAGCAAAACAAACGGGTATTATAGTCTTAGATACTCGGACCGCAATTGCACGCCACAGATATTTTATCTGAATAGGAATAAGCTAACAGTAAGAGGGTGCACGTCTGTTGGAAAGCTGTGTTGTGACTGACGGGGCAGCAGAGTACACTTGCTGAACTGAGTGATACTGTAGTGTTAGCACTCTGAATAGATGTGGATTGTGGGAGACAAGCATGTAGCATAAGTTGCATGCACACACGAACAGATGGTCAACGTACCGCACTAGGCGTGGGAAAGTCCCCGGCGCGATTGCCGACGTCCGGCTTGCTGATCAAGCTGCTGATCTGCATTCTGCTCAGCTCAGCCTACACATGTGCGCAATGGTACAAACAATAAAACAAACAATATCAGAACATAATATCCCGCCAAACCAATGAATAATATCCTGAAATAATTGTTAGATTTTGTCGTGAATGTTTTTTTTAAAACCAATATCAGAAGCAATACATCATAACATGACGGTATAATCATATGGGAGATCTCGGGCACACAGCACCCGCAGTAGAACATGGATACTGTCACCGTCAAGTATTAGGTTCTGCCAGTCCAGGATCTACGTGGATACGGACTAGAGACAAGCCACTGTACCTTGGCAAGCTGAAGTTCATTCCTGACGCGCTGCAACTCCTCCTGTGCTGCAGCTGACAGAGGAGCGGGTTCGTGCGCCGGCGACTCATCAGCGACATCATCGTTATTCTCACTCTCGTCTCCGCCGATGTTGCTGCCAGAGCTGGTTCTCTTCTTGCCTTTGCGGAATGATTCCAGCTTGAACGGCTGCACAAAGCATACATACAGTCAGAAATGGGATGAATTAGACATCAGTTGATGCTTATGGAACTGTGCCCCGCCGTATTCGCCCTATTTGTCATTGGATAAATTTGTCTGTTTCGGTCAGCGATTCAAAAATAAAATCCACACCAACAACATGCTAAGCTACAGTGCTGCTGCTCAATGCAGTCTGATCACGAGAGTTAAGTATGTGCCATACGCGCTGTGCAGCCCTAGACCTGCCAGCACTGGGGTGTGAACTGCTGCAGTGCAGGGCGCAACGTGGACTCGCATGATCGGATTCCAATCAGAGCAGCACTCCATTTGTACCATGTGCGTGAACATACATGTAGCGTCTCCCGTGATGGATGCATGGAGATGATTGATGCAGCTGGTCAGTACTCACATGCAAGCATTGGTGGTTCAGTGGTAGAATCCTCGCCTGCCACGCGGGGGGCCCGGGTTCGATTCCCGGCCAATGCATTTTTTTATTACTTTTTTTGTACATACAGTATCAGTGCAAGTACAGTTCTGGACAGAGAAATCCAACCTCATGAATAAGGCAGCACAGCTCTCAAGTGCACAGAGTGGTGTGTGTAGCGGGGTAGGGCCGCGTAGCCCCCATCGCCGCTATTATATTCCTCAGGTTGGATTTCTCCAGCCAGGACGGTAGTTGACACTATGATCTTCCTTCCACACATTACGTACCTTCCATGACTTCTTCTTCTTTTTGTCCTTTGACTTTTCCAGTGCCATGGCAACTGTCATGCTGGATTCATCCCACGTCACCGACTTGTAGTTAGCAGCAGCGGCAGCTGAGCTTTGGGCAACGAGCGGGGAGCTGACGCGTCGTACTGGGACGTCGTCCGTAGTTTGAGCACCGCTGGCCTGAGCCTGAGTCCAGTCGTTCGGAGCGACGGTGCGCAGCAAGGTGTAGATATGATCCAACTCTTCTTCCTGTCAGGATATGGTCAAAGTAGGAAGTAAGTTTGGCAGAAGTGTGAGACGGAATCACAAGCCCTGCTGAGAGCTTGACACGGCTATGTGTGAATGCAACACTATAGGCACTAAACACTCTTCAAACTCATCTAGCACAATAATCCAGGACTCAGTCAGTTAGCCTAGGGACATCAGAGATATCGTGCACAAGGCTCAATTCCAACTTGCCACATCTCACATGATGTGCACACGCCTACCGTTAGACACCAATCGGCAGACATGATGAAAGGTACTTCTGTGAGATTGGCCCTACACACACATACATACCGTGCTCTTACCTTGGTTTTGAATGCCTGCAAGACTGTCGTTACCTCACTGTCCTTCTTCTGAATGATATCTTGTAGCTGGCTCATGGCTCGTGTCTGCGGACGAACAGAAAGACAGAATTACTTCTCATTCCCACAGTAAAAATGAAAACACCTAGCGTGATCGATTTCAAATTATCCGCAGCTAGCCCAGACCACAAGCATTGGTTATGCTGGTTTGACGTCACACCTGAGAGCTCACACGGGAATAGTTTTGATTGCATTGCTGAATTTACTTTTGCGTTCTGTTGAATTTCCGTCTCAAGCTTGTTCGTGTCAAGTTGGTACCATTGTGGGTAGGACACAGAGAGAGAGAGAGAGAGAGAGAGAGAGAGAGAGAGTGTGTGTGTGTGTGTCGATGGATTCCAGTGTGGGCAGGACAAGAAGAGCTGGTGCTAGGCGGTACGTACCGTATTGACAACCTCGTTCTGTAGCTGCGAGTTGCGGTCCTCCAGTTCCGAGAGGCGAGCTTCGAGCATCTTCTGAGCACGCACACAAGTCACAAGCGCAGCACGAATGCAAAGCGTTGTCAAGAAATTAGCAATAGTCAGTAGTGACAAATAGCAAAATGTCAAGAAAATTAGCAATACTAGAAGTTAGTACTGACATTGAATCTACATTGCTATCCTGATCCCACTGTACATGCATCATGATACGCATGGCCAGTATTCCGTATTTAAGTGCAGACAGCAGACAACAGTAGGGCCTATGTACTAGTGTTACTCACCTGCTCAGACAGCGACTTCTTGCTGCCGTGCAGCGAGCGATGCGGAGACATCACCATGCCAACTGGGCTGGCCACAGGCAGCCTGTTCTCCATATTTGAAGCAGCAGCTCCGGCGGCGGCGGCAGCTGCAGAGTTTGCCTGAGCCAGAGTGTACCTATCCATAGCTGGACTTGTTGATGTCGAGCTGGACGTATCCGACGGGTGCCTCTGCTTGGCATCGCCTTGCTTTGCTTGGCCATCGCTCGTGTTCAGAGGACTATCGGACAAGCCGGACGTGCCACCGTTGCTATAGAGACCGGTCATGGAGACGCCGCTGTCACGGTGATTGCCGGTGGTGGGTTTCAAATCCTGGAAGTGTTGCGCGGGCACGGTCCGGGCGCGAGGTCTGAACGACACGGCGGCACGGCTGCTGTTGGTTACGGTTGCCATGGGCGACTCGTCCGAAGAGCTGCCGCCCTGGCTGGTGCTACCGTGACGACGGGAAGAATGATCGGGTGTGGTGGAGTCTAGGATGTTGTCGCTGCTCAAACGGCGTGGGAAGTGGGAGCGGCGTGCTTCGGAGCGAGCTGAGAACGACCTGCCTCGCTGGAGAGGTGACGGGTCCCAATCTTGCGATGACTGTGCTGTTGCTTGTACTCCGTCTGTTGCTGCTGCTGCTGCTGCTGTGTATGGATCTTGATTTGGAGAGGCACACACTGGTGGAGGTTGCTGCTGCTGTGGCGTTGGCTGTGGTTGGCTCGTTGCATTACTAGGTTGGGTGTTGGTCATGGGCAGGGGCTGACGAAAGCCCGTCGCGGCCGCGATACTGGGTTTGGAGCCACCGCGCGGCGCATTGGATGATCGTCTCCACGATGTTCGCACAGGGTTGTCTCGCGAGCCCAGGCCCGATACCTCGGGTACCGCAGCGAGCGGACTGGCCGATTGCATGACGGTTTTCATGCTGTTCAAGTTGTTCTCCTGCGATGATGCTGCTGATGAGGAGGACAGGACACTGTCGTGAAGCGGTGGACTGCAAGCGGGAGCTGAGTCGCTCAGACTCGAGGATTGCGGACTGTGTCGCGGGGAGCTGTTGTTGCTCAGACTGAGCAGTGCGATGTTCATCGGTGAGAAGGGCTGTTGCTGTTGCTGGTGGTGTTGCTGAGCATTGGCGGTTAGATCGTCATGAGAGGTAGGTGCAGTGTCCGGTACATGCGCAGAACTGAACGACATGCTGGCTGACTGGGAAACATCTTCAACGGTAGCATGTTGACGGATGTTGCTGTTGCTCGGTGTTGCACTGGATGCATCGATGTGGCTCACTCTATCCAAGAGGGTAGCCGCCATGGCCGTGTCTCGTTTGCTGCTCGATGGCTTGCCTTCGGAGTCGGATGATGAGTTGGATTTCCCGTCAGCGGCGTCATGAGGTCGCTCCGAGGCGATCAGATCAGGAGAGTCCGCCGTGGTTGAGTGCTTGGCACCGGCATCTGTGTGCGGCGGTGGGCTAGACTTCTTGCTTGCTGGAGGTGGCAGGGCGCGTATGTTGAACGTCCGCTTGTGACTGGGGCTGCTGTCCGAATCCGACGTATGAACAACAGTTGGTTTTCTCAAAGCACTGTTATTGGTGCAGGCCAAGATGGGTACAGTGCTTCTAGGCCCAGGTCGGACAAGCTTTGGGGAGTTCTCGCCGAGTTCTGCTCTCGTCAGGGGGCGCTCGTCGTTGCTGGATGGCGAGGTGAGACCGGCTGTGCTGCAGGACTGTGTGCGATGCACCTTTTCACCAGCGGCACTCGTGCGTGACCCTGGCTTTTTCAGGCCACTGGCAGGGGGAGGTGGTTTTGACGTTGCAACACTACCGGCTGCTGCACGATCTGATGCTCCAGTGGCGGCATCCTGCTGTGCCGTTGTTGCATCACCGTTTGCTTTGCGTTGACGGCCAGGACTGATTGGCTCCTCCGAGTACGACCGGATCACCATCTGGTGCTGAGGCGAGGATTTTGGAGACGGCCTGGGCGACATCTTCTTCAGCGTCGGTATAGCAGCCGGTTGCTGCAGCTGCTGTTGTACCTGTGTGGGATTGCTCTGCGCCGGCTTTCCGATTGCGGAACTCGGCTTGCGAAGCTGTGACGAGCTGGCACCAGTGGGTTTCAGTTTTGAGCCGACCTCTTGTGTATCTGCTTGTGAAGCGGCGGCTGCTGCTGTGCTGGCCGTGGAAATGTTGGCTGGTGAGAATACGGCGTTGCTACTCGTCCTCGCTGGAACGGCCACGGGTGGTCGGCGTGTTGTTTCGGCTTTCTCCGGGCTGCTGTCCGTGCTGGCGGACACGTCTGCTTCAGTACCAGCTTGACGATGCTGCTGCTGCTGCTGCTGGGGCTGGTGTTGCTGCTGTTGCTGCTGTGCTTGAACATGATGGTGATTATTGACCTGCGAGAACGAGCGCACCTTTCGTGACGGAATCGTCAGCTTGGTCTGCTTTGGCTGTGGCAAGCCCGGCTGCGGCAGCTTTGATGCACTCGTTTCTGCGGTTGTCGGGCTTTGCACGGCAGCCGGTGCCGGGAGTGGTGATTTCCCGGCGGGCAGCTTGGAGCCGAGCTGCGGCGATCGTGCCTGCGTTGTCGACGCTGCCACCGGTATGCGTTGTTTGAGACCGGTGACTGGGCTCGAGGGCATCTTGGACGGCGTAGGCAGAGCGGACGCCGCTGGGCTGGCTATAACGCGACGCTGGTGCTCCGTAGACACTTTCGACATAGCGGTGAACACCTCGATGAGCTTTTCAGCTTTGCCTTGGATAATTTCTGCAAAGGACAAAGAACAAAAAAGCACATAAGTACATCATGATGGTCGTGTATGCATTGCACAAACACGAGCAGGGATTTACGATTCCAGAATACCTCACGGCTAATGAATCTTAGTTACAGCAACAAACACTATCTCGGAAAAAGTTTCACGGTTTCGGGTCAGACTCAGTTAGGGTCAGTGAGTCGACTAAGGACGAAATACTACTGTTTGTTGATTGAGTGGATTTCCTGCATACATGACTACAACACTGCGAGACAATGCTGAGTTTCCGTAGAAAGCTCATTCTGATGGCGACATGTTCCGCACCTTTGGCTGTGGTGTCGGGCACGGCAATGCCCGATTCCTTCACCGCCTGAAGGCACTTCTCAATGTTCTGTAACTGCAAAACCAAAAACAACACATGCATACCAATACGTTCATCAACATGCAATACAAATGAGGCACTCGTCAGATACGGACATTGACATGGTGCATGCAACAAATCACTTCCGTGTAGTTGGATCGAGCAGGGGCGGAGATACTGCGTGCAAGCAATGCTAATCGTGTAGTACATATTACGTATTCTTGAGCACAGTGTACAAATCACTTGTGTTCCAGCGCAGAGTGTCACTATTTCCTTTTCAGAAGAAAGGCTGAAAATAGCAATATCTATTGTGGCATTGCAATTCCTGATCACCCGATCATTGCCGTAAGGCAGCAAAACATATCCAGCTCATTTTTCTACAAGATAGCACATTTTAAAAGCAATTTCGGTAGCTTTCTCTGCCACCTACTCCCTCCTTTACATACCTTGTCAGCTTCAGAGCTTGGACTGTGTCTGATACTAGTGACATCCACACCAGCTGTTAGAGAACAAAAAGCATACGAACATACACACACACATACAAACACACAAACGCGCACACACACACACACACACACACACACATATAATTATACACAAACACACAAACACGCACAGTGACAACTGACAACCACACACGTAGTACACGTGGCGCACAAAACATACACTTGGTCACAGTGGTAATTGTCAATGGATGCACTTCAGGCAGCGTGCATCTATCTAGTTTTCAAGTGCCAGCACTCACACACTGAGACAGGCTGTCAGAGACACAGATGGAGCGGCTGATCTGTTCTTAGCATCACGACACAGGACACAACTGCCAATAGGAAGTCTGGGGGCTATGAAGGATTCTCCAATTTACCTTATCAGCCAGACCATTGCCGAAGACAAACGACAATTTAGAGGATTTCAACCGCTGCGATCGTTTTCTGAGCAGTTTCGAAACGCCTGTCACTGATCTCCGCGCTACTGTGATCTCTTCCGCTACCAACGCGCACAGTCGTCGGCAAGACAAAGACCTTCCGCTGCTCGTTCAGCTCTGGTCCCCGCCGCAACACCAAGGCCTGACAGATTTCAGTCCCCAAGCGTGCACTAAGTGTGCCCAGCAGCGCTTGAACAAGACTTGTTTCTCTCACAAGCTTTTCCTCGCGATAATGAAGACCCTCGGAAGTTTTTTTGGAGCTTTGTGGCACTCGCTACATGCACACGTACACAATCATGCACAGCGGGAGAACCAATAATACTAATAGCCTATGAAAGCACGTGCACGCCTGCATGCTGGTTTTGTGGTCTGCACATATGCACAGGGTTTATCTGTGCACATGCCCTTTTCTAGTCGCGATCCATTTCCAGGATGTGAGGTCGAGCGACAACCAGTTACCTTTCAGACACAGGATCAGTTCGGTCATTGCGGACTGTGCCGGCGTCGGATGAGCAAGAGACACAAACTCTACAAAACCAGATCTCGTAGTTGAGGAGTTGGAGCCTGTAGATCAGGTAGATGGAGCTGGAACTCTTGAAAGGTTTGTAGGGACTCTTGGAACACGTCTCTGTTGTCGTTTCATGAGGAGTAGCTTCAACCATTTGGCGTTAGTCTGGGGATGTTCCTACGGCCGTGGCTAGTACACTGCCAATTGCAATACAATGTCATGAACATTTGAATACGTTTTGAGTTGGTATCATGATCTGGGGTCACGCAGTCTCACCTTTAGGCGTCTTACTCTGAGTTACGTCACTTAGATCCATCTTACAACGGAGTAGCTTCTGGCAGGTAGGTCTCGGAATAGACCTGCCTTCTTCGCACACTCTTCCCTTGCTATCCCACTGCTGCTTGCCTAGGGAGTGAGAAGGTCTGAGCACGTACTATGGTGGGCTGGTGGAGTGACACGCAGCTCCAAATCTTCTATGATCTTGAAAATCGCTTGCAGCGCAACTAGTAACGCTGCTGCCCGCGGGTCAATTCGTAGACGAGGCTATTCGGGCCTGCCCTCTCACCGTTATGATTCTTATGAACACCAACCATCAAAGGATCGGAGAACGAAACAGAACTCGGAACCACAGTATTTCGGTCCTGGAGATTTGTTTACAAGCTGAGCGCGCTAAGTGATCCGTTCTCACTCGCTCTGTAAACGAACCACAAACGCTCAACACTGACAACAGACACGTTGTAAGTGAAGTAATGAACTATTACTTATTGGACCGGGCCATAGAGTCACTTCCCATTCTTACAACCTATGCATATGCCCATACGGGCAATCAACGATGGTGGTTGGGTGCACTTTCTCTCACTCTCTCAATGGCGTTTTCAGTTTTGTCCTTTGCACGAGTTCTGCGTGTAATGCGTCAGCGGCTGTAGCAGTACCAGCGAAAGAGCACCGAACATTGACACCGCTTCTGTACACGGAGAAGTGAAACTATCCATTGAGCCCATTCGCTAGCAGTAGCGTGCGGCAGCTGCTAGCCTGCCCTTCTACAAATAACGTCAGAATGTCGCGGAGCAGAACTGTTGATGGGACAATGCAGCCGGCGAGACGGCAGCGCGAAGAGATAAGACGAGGACCAAGGGCGAACAACAGCTGTTGCTCTAGATGCACTTCTAATGCACCACACCACTGCACTGACACGACGATGATGATGATGACGATGATGTGGCTGCCACTGAATTCAGTTTTCTTTCTTTCTCAACCTGCACCCTAGTCGCAGGTGTCAATACGAGACGGGAAAACATCGTGGCATACAGTACACGACAGCCAACACAATACACAGTACCACATGCACACTTACAACAGCAAGAAGGGTCCTCCTGGGTCCACACGCTGACCTCCCTACACACGCTAGCGTCCATGTAATTTTCACGACGCAGCAACAGAGATACCTCGCCTGAGTGGACACAATTTCTTCCTACATCATACCGAGCACCAGCAGTACTACGACCAGCGCCCGAACTGCCGAAGCCTCTCTAGCAACGCGCCCTATCTGCCCTGCACGCCACGGGCAACGACAAGACGGTACTCGTAGATCTACGGGGTTTTCTTGAGGGTTGAAGAAGAGTAGCAATGAAAATAATTATCGATCTTCTAAAATCGCTCCCCACATTCCCTTGCCGGGATTATCACCAGCTGAGAGGAGTGAGAAGCGGACAGATTTGATACTGCCAGGGATCGAGATCCATGCAGACTGTATCTCTCTATGTGTCAAAGTTCACGAACCTTTGAACTCTTGGTGGTGTTTGTACTGTGCGCAAGGCAAGTAATTAGTTACAGTGCAGTGCAGTGATGATGCGAATGTTGAGTGCCTGGTGGTATTATCACACCGCAAGTTGACATCGATCTGCCAAATTTTAACGTGCAGCGCAACGCAACACGCCAGGACAAAAGCTTACCTGCTTTCATGCGTCGTGAACTGCGACACCACTCCACTCAACCACAGATTACAGGAGCAAACAGCGTTGGTCCACTTCTTTCCGATCCGAAGCCGCCAGACTAGAATCCAGAGGTTTGTGGTATCAAGTCAACGCGATTGATTCGCGCAAACACTACCTGCTCCACTGAGCTTTAATAGACTCCTTTCCAATGATAGATAATATCAACTAAAAGCGCAACTACTAGCTTTCACTTTCTGCCGTGCTGTGCTAATCGCCTGCCCCAACAGTTATGCTTTGGCGCCAACGAATGGATCACGAGGTACGAAAACTACACGCGGATTGCAAGTGCCCTCTTGAGCAGAATGGAAACGCGCGTCGAGCTCAGCACGACAGCAGCAGTAACAGTGGGTCAGCGGCACTGCAGAGCACCAGTAGTAGCAGTAGCTGTGACCTTCACTGCTTCAATGACTGTATAATGCTTGTAGCTCTACGCGTAGCTAGCCCGGAGAAGTGGGTAGCTAACTTACTTACTAACGAACACGACGTACTGTCCTTTCGGGCAGCGTTCTTCTCCGACTGCAGGCAGCTAGCTCACTTCATTCTTGCTTTCACTGAGTCGTCAAATGCCCGCCTCTCCAGCACCTTTCCCGCACACAATTCACCCAAGTACCTGCACCCTCAGACGTGAAGGCTTTACACGTTACACATGGAAGAAACGACCCGTCACACCGTGCAGACGAGGTGGCAACCACGTACACAGTACAGGTCACTGTCGCACTTGTCTGTTACACATTATCCACGTACAGACATGCGGTCTAGTCAGCTGACTGCAATGACTATGTACATCTAGCGAGATCGGTTTCCCACTAAGGAGAGCATCACAAGTAAACTCAATGGCCCTATAGACACCGAGCAATGGGACGAAACGCGAGAACGTACACAGGGTTGAATGAGGCGTTAAGTCGTCCCTCCTCAATAGACCAACCGCCCCCCCGTTTGGGACCACTGATGTCAGTGCAATAGTGATAGTGATGTACATGAAACCGATGTGCGGTTGGTGGTGTCTGCATGCACGATATACGTGTTAGACGTAGATCTACGAGTACGAGATCTGCTGGAGGTATAGTAGCAGGGATGTAACTACACGTTCTTGAGTCGGATGCGTGAGTCATTCAGTTGTACAACTATCGCAACAAGGCCTGCTAGCATGCTGCAGAGGCTGAGTTCAGGGCTGATGCTTGTAGAATGTCATTCATATTCATCCATCTATAACAGTACTCGTACACTGCATTCGTCTACACCAGGTCTGCAGTCAGCTACTGCCGTACTGGACGTTATGATGATGTCTGATGAGACAGCGAGTTGAAGCATTCAGAACAGGGATCCGATCGACTGGCAATAATGTATCAGTTCACATCATTCAAACCATACTTCACTCCTCAGTCTGTCAGTCTGCTGACACTCACACTCACATACATGTGCATGTCCTATGTTCCATGCACGGAGATCATCAGTGCTAGTACAAGGTACCACTGAATGCTGCCCATCATCTCTTCTGCAGTCAATACCATCACTGCAAGCCCATGGGTATTCATAACTCCACATTAACCCGCAACCACGCACACATGCACGCACCAAACACAGTGACACACACACACACACACACACGCATACCAACACACACACACACACATACACACACACACACACACACACACGCATACCAACACACACACACACACATACACACACACACACACACACACACACACACACACACACACACACACACATACACATACACATACAGGCCCACGCGTGCAGTTTAAAAAGGTACGACCGACTACAGAGCATCAGGTTGTTCCTCGTTCCAACACTTTTAGCACGTCGTTGATCACCCGCGCACCGTTCCTTCCGCTGGACCGCCGGTTTTCCGTATGAAGTCACCAGAAACTGAGCAGTGACGGTCTATGCTACATTGGGCTGATACTAGTTACTACTGCGTGCAGTACGTACGAGGACCCCTGCTCTAATCATGTGCCTGCAACTCCCGACACAGCACATGCCCATTAGCAACCAAAGCTAGAGCTCGATTGTCTTCTTCCCCCTCCACGAGCAACGTCAGTACACGGTCCTGCGTACAGTGTATAAGGCCAGTCTTTTCCTCCTTCAAATAATTCCATTCTCCTGTAGGGCCAGGAAGCTACATGAAACTCACTACATGCTACGCATACCTGAGTAATGCTTGTGCGCTGGTACTAGGCGACCAACACATGAATCAGCTCCAGTTGATGTTGTCCGTATTCCAAATCAACTCCACATCTCTCTCCGGAGCGACGGTGAGTTTGTTATCCAATCTCTAGCTTGTGCTGAACTACAATGGTTGATCTCAAACAGTGCGGACAAACTCAACCCAATGCAAACATCCTGCTATGCAGCGCACTCTGCGATTCCTCCTTTCCGACCTAAAGATCAGTAAAGTTAAACTCTGGTGGCGGCATGTGCTTGTTTTGTACTTGTACGCTTTCATGTTCAGTGTTTGCTGTGTCAAGACTCAAGTCCTGCAATACACTGTCCAGTCCCAATGAGCAATGAATGAGTCCCGATTGAGATAAGAGGGCCTCCTCGCGCGGTCGGCACGACCTCTGACTTCGCCCGCTATTCCGTATTCCCAGTGACCCAGTCCTCAGCCTTTCTCACTTCTTTGATCTGTCTGCCTGGTGTCACGGGAAAGTCAAGTCTGAACTGCAGGATCTAGGTCTAGTACTAGGAGTAGGAGCTAGCAGAGTGAGTTTTCGTCACGTGATGATAGGACCACGTGGTGTCGGCAGACGCGTGAGTCAAGGATCACGGAGGACGGATTACTGACTGTAGTCGAGTGTAGTATGTAAGTACTGTAGAGTGTAGTTAGTACTGTTGTTGGCTCGACGCTCAGTGTCACTCACATTCACAATCACATACAGGACTCGCCGCACTTGGCATGGACCCATCGCCATGGACAATCCCTTTCTAGCATGTGTCACTCTCGTCGCCTCTGCTCCTCGACCTGTCTCCAGTGAATCAAAACTGTCGCTGGCAGGCTGTGCTGCTGTAATTTCCCCCGTCTCTGCCCATGGCTGCAGGCCAATGCAGGTATGAGCGGGCAGAGATAACAGTTTTAAACACACACACTCTGAGTCAATGGATGTCGCTTTTCAGATAGTCGGACAGCTCTTTTCTTTCCTGTTCGTGTTGAGTGTGAACGATAATATCTTCCTGGCCATCTGCATCATGTCCACAACCGCTGGATGATTCTGTCTGCGACGTTTTATTCTTTGGGTGTTTGTCATTGCTCACTTCGCGTTGCTAGCTCCCGTTGCCAATGGAGATATGCTGATAGTGTCTGAAGCACTGTGTTATGACGTTATGATCATGAATATGAAAGGCAAGGTCTATTGTAGTGCTATCTCCATGATCTCGGGAGTCGGGTGTTGGTATCTGTAGTGTAGCTGAGGACCGACAGCAGAAAGTCGGGGAAATACTAGCCAAGCACATGAGGGCTGAAGTGTCAATTCCTGAGCACATGTACCTGTAGTGCTCGTGATTTCGTTGTTCTGGCAAGAGAGGAGATGTGGGCGCGACCTGTAAGATGACTCCACGTTTCCACGTTTCGGACATGATCGACTGCGATAAACCCCGCCCTGATGCCGTGATGGATATGATGTGTCGCTGTACTCCACGTGTTTAAGAACAACACGAGGAGTGGCTGACAATGCAATGGCGAAGCACAGTTTAATGATAAATTATTTGGTAGAGTGCTTGGACGTGTCCGCGTTCTACGTTGCGAAGTGACATCAACACACACTTGATTTGGCTCCACAGTACTCGATACTGACGTGTTGGTCTGTTTTTGTCGACTACAGTACATGTATAGTTTAGCCAATACATGTACCGGTACATGATAATGATACTAGTAATGCTGTACAGCATCCTCATGAGTCATGACTTGTCGACGCTCACTAAAAACAGTCACTGTTTAAAATACAATCATACTACTTCATTGCTATCAGGTTCGGCCTCATTTCCTCTGTGCTGCGCTGATGAGTTCACAAAGGACGAAGACGTTCTGTCCGCAGATTGAGTTACATCAGCTACCGGTACCACAAAGTGTAATATCTGTACCGTGTACTGGCCTCAATTACGCATCCAACCTGTTACCTTGCAGCTTGACGTACCAACACAATGTAGACACACACCCACGCGTGACACCTATGGACATAACCGGCATGGTCCATGCATGGCCATAAACAAAATACCCGGTATGCATAATGGCCATTGCTCCATACCGATACGATTCTCCGGACACTACTATAGTCAACTTGGCTAATAACGACTGCGGATATAACGACTGCGGATATAACGACAGTTCGCGAATAGCGACAGAATTTCCATGCCCAGAGCAAAGTCCCATCCAATTGTAATACATATGCGACTTCGGGTATAACGACACTTCGCGAAAGGACACCTTTTTGATGCCCCGCCGAGTGTCGTTATAACTTATAAGCGAAGTTGACTACAGTCCTATTCATCTCATTGCCGCATGCATGGGATATATAAATCGAGATCATTCCGGCAAACCAAGGTTAGGTCAGGGACGATCTATTCCGGTATTCGGATTCAAATGATTTCATGGGGTGAGCCAGCGAGTCCGTAATATTTATAGGGCGTATGTACATGTATGGAGCGTGAGTGCAGCGAGTCCGCGACTTCGCCAACGCCGCGCATGATCTCAACTAATACTAGAACAGTAGAAGCCTGAATACTAGTACTAGTAACCATGACTCATGAGTGGTGACAGTCTGACAGCTAGGCAACACCGACAGTGATCATAATCATAATCACGGAACACGGCGGAAGCTATCTCCTTCGCCTGCCTGGGAGGTTCAGGAACGAAATTACCGAAGGTCGATCCCACAGAAGACGGAGAAAGAGAGAAAGAATAAGTCAGTATACGAAATTCGTACATGTACATGACTGTGCTATGATGTAGCCCAGTTGAGCTCCACTGCACATCGCTCTGTAGCACGGTTGAGTACGCCTGTACTGAATACGCTGCACTCCGTTCGGCTCCAACACTACTAGTAGCGGCACGTATCCGTACAGTCTCTGGATCTCTCTTATTGAAACACTAATTTGCTTTAAAGTTAGTTTCAGTTGAAGTGATTCGGTACAAATAGGGCATTGCAGAGAACCTGATTGCATTCATACATTTACAGCATAATTCATCCTTTCCAATGGCAATGAGCTGCTACGTAACTCGTCGTTGAGCGTATGAATCAAATCCAGGCAGAACTCTTCAGTCGTACACAGCTCAACAATGATGAAGTTAGTGACCAATAATATGTTCGTTCCCTCCAGGCTCCAGGACGATGATCAATCGTGAAGCTCCTCAGATTCAGCACGGCTGAGCAAGGACCCTGACAATAGCCACCGGTATCTGCAAGTGCGAATTGCTCTGGAACACATAGGAACTCGTCTTGAACGTGCAGAACTACTGCTAGACTCACCTAAATCGGTAAGTTGCCTCTGCGGCAGATGGCAAGTGCTGAGAGGTATATGCTGTGGAACCAGGCCGGAATGAATCATTGAATGGCAGGCGTCTCTCTTTCACCAACAAAGTCACTACGTGCACTGGAGGACTGGAAAAATATCAAGAGATTGCTGACGACACTCCGCCAGGCACGTATGATACAGGTCGGGTCTGGACTCTGGAGGGTTGTGTGGCACCGCGCCTCATTACGCCTTAACAAAAGCCAAAAAGGTGAACTTGTCCACACAACACACCGTTTCAAGTACATTTCGTGCATGTTGGAGTGGCCAAGGTGACATCTCAAAGGAAGTATTATAGTCCGTGTACTTGACAGTGACAGGTTCAAACATTGCTGAACATCGCCCCAAACTTAGCCCAAAAAATCTAAACCGTAAACGTCAGTGTACTGTAACTAACAAACTTAGAATCATACAGGTGTAGAATTACGCGCACGCACCTGTACCTACTAGCCGCCTAGTTTCACTGTGTTGGGAGTGTACTAGTATTCCAGTAGGTAGACTAATCCCCCAAATGGTATAATGATGTGATCGGAACAAGCAAAAACTCAACTACTGAACTAGTGCCAATAGACAAGGGGTCGTTGACATCTGAATCGTGTACACCAGCTTGAAAACTGAGTATTCACACATCATCTTCTAGTTCTGAGCCTGCTTGCATGCGTACCATGGACCAGATTAGACTGAGGAATTCTCGTCAACGAACTCGTTTCTGGTCTGGCATTGTTAGACAGCGAGAAACATGGTTGATATTCTCCAGCACCCATTGTCGCTAACTTCCCAACAAGGCAAGATGAGAGAGGTACATGGTAGCTAGAGTGAAGTTAGAGCAGGAGAAAAAGGTGTGTTCACGATGAAGATCTGATTCAGTTCCCACTTCATATGCTACAGTTGTATGTTGCGTGCACCGCTTCGCTTGTGCTACAATTCAACACCAGATATCTAGCTCTCAGCACGCCTCGTTCACTCACCAAGTCACCATGCTATATTTGTCAGTGTGTGAGCATACAATGTAGCTGAAGCGCTGCTCAATGATCATTACAAACTGTGTATTAAAAGTAGATTGGAGTGGAATGGACC